ATCTGAATGGAATATTATTGGTAGCATGAATCTTTTAAAAACTAATCTCTTGATGGAGTTATGGGTTTTAACATTCCTTATCTTTAAAAGATGGTCAATTTTGATCTCTGTATAGCCTTAGTGGCTAAGTTTTATAGTGTTTTTAAATCCATTACACATATAGTTATCTAACCTGTCATCTGGTAGCAAAATGTAGAGTCATTGAAAAATGTTTTATAATTTCATGGTTACCATCAATCGTAGTTCTGCCATTTAATCATAGTAAAGGTTTGAAGATTTGTTTCTATTTTTCTAAAATTATTCATAATTACACTTGAAATGCTAACAAATTTTCATCCATAGTGTGCTTATTATATCCAAATATTAACATGTTTTTTATTTTACATTAATAGAAGGATCATTGTTAAGTCAAATCTTATACTTTTTCTGTTTCATTTTATGTTTCCTTAATTTTATTTATTCCATGTTTTCTTTTTTTTTTTGTTTTGTTTTAGTTGGGTCTGGTAAGTTGACATTTTATTCGCCATCTTCTAATCACCGTGTCACTGTGACTGGAACTTCTCTTCCCCTTTCCATCCATACCCTTCCATGTCCTTCAACCAATCAGCCTCCATGTTTCACTTGTCATTGGCCACAAAGACAGACTGCACAGAATAAAGTCTGCAGGAAGTATGGGTAACTGGCAAAGAGTAAAGGTAATGGGGTTGCTAACTTTATGTCTTTATTAAATCATGTATGGTCTGCATCCTTTATTTTCTTCTGTCCTTAAATAAGTGATAAGTGCTAGGATTGATTGATTAAGTACTATTTCAATTTACATCTTACAAGATTAAACAAACAAACAAAATATATGTCTAGAGAATAATTTGGTTTTTTCCCCCTTCAAAATATTTATTAATTCATGCATGTCTAGGTTTTCATAGCTATAAGTCAGTAATAGTATTAAAGTTCTGTTGGTGAATAGCCTTTGCACTACAAGCTTTCTTGCATTCATTTTCATTTATGTGTCAGATTCATTTCATTTTATATGAAATAACTACATGGTTTATCCACAGTTTATCAAATTTATTTTAATAAACATTTGTCCCTCTATAAATAAAGCATCCTCATGTTTCTAAGCACTTACATTAGGAGAAGGTTCTTTTATTCTGTAAGCTTCTAGAACACCATTTTTAGAGAATTTTACATGAATATGGTATGCTAAAGGGTATGTCACCCTAAAAGGTTCTCTCTCACTATTCTATAAGCTAAAAATTGACACAAATATTACTGAAATGACATTCCGTATTGATGCAGATAGGATGGACTGCTCAATAATTGTGATGCTGTCAATGGCTGTTTGGGAAAAAAAATTGCTTTCTTTATGATATCATATATACAAAATTATAGTTGGACTAAAAATTAAAAATAAAAATAATAAGGGCATTAAAGTATGGGTGCAATTGGAGTTGAATATTTATGTAATGTATTATATTCTATACATATGTAATGGTATACTACACAATACCGTTATCAAATCATTTTATTGATACAATAACAAAAATATTGCCTAAACAGATTAGAAGGAGTATTAACAAAATGAAAAAAGATATTTATAACTGATATGAAAAGTTTTATCTTACCAACAGTTCTTAGAAATCAGAAATAAAATATAAATAAACATATGAACATAATATCCAAAACAAATAGAGCAGAACCCTCTGAACTGGGGCCAGAGAATCAGTAGCAATAAGTACATGAGCCACCTCTGAATCAGGAAGTGCTTGAGGAGATACCTGTGTCCTGTTCTCAGAGGCAGAAAGGTAATGTGAAGACAAATGCTTAAACTCACAAAGGTAAAAATACTAATGAAGAGGAAAGTCTATTCTGAGGTTGGCAATGATGTTAATGTTCAGTGTTGGTAAAATTTGGGAGAAAAGGCAATTTGTGTGCTATTAGTGAAAATCTCAGTTGATTAAAAGTATTCCTGAGCACAACTGAGCTATTTTTTAATGTGCTCTAGACCTTTGCATATTTTCAGACTTTGTAATTTTGCCTCTAGGAAATGATCTTGAATATCTTTAGGAGAAGGGTGTTAATCTTACACCATCTTTAAAAGTGAAAATGAGAAGAGTCTAAGAGTGGTTAAATAATTTAAGATAATTTGTAAATTGGTTATTGTAGAGTCATTAAAATGATATTATAGGAAAATATTTTAAAGCCAGTTTGCCTGGTAGAATTGTAAGTAGCTTTTCTGTTTTTCCCTCTTTGTCCAACTTTTCAAATTTTCAACACTGAATATATATGACATTGTCAATATGATTATGCATATTTGATTATAGAAAGTTTCAATATTTTATCCTTCAGAAAACTCCAATATAGCCTCATAAAATTCAAGTAGATGCATTTGATTAATGGCCTCAGTCTAGATTGGTAAACACGATAGATTGATAAATAGAAGCAAATTTAGTCCATGAATTTTTTTTTTTCTTAGAGATATGGCTACATCTGACATCTAATGTGCAAGTAGAGGATTTTTGTATTTTTTTGTTTTTTGGAGACAGGGTTTTGCTACATTGCCCAGGCTGGCCTCGAACTCCTGGTCTCAAGGCATTTCTCCTTCCTCAGCCTGCTAAGTAGCTGGAACACCCTGTGTGTCACTGAGGCTGGCTGAAGAGGATTTTTAAAAGCTTTGTTTCTGAGACATGTCTTGCGGCTGATGTCACTGTTGATGTTGGCTTGAGAATATGCCTACAAAATACAGTAAATTCATTTCCAGGCAAAGATCCTGTGTAGAAGGATCGCTTCAGGATAAATGTAGTTAGCATGAGGGTTTGTATGCCTTGTTCCCCACCAAGTCTTTGAGGTTTTGAAGAGAGCTGGCATTTTATAAAAGAAACACAGATTCTGGCACACATTCTTAGACATGCCCCTGAGATTTAGGAAAGAGACCACCCGAAGCTTTTGCTTGACTAAGTGGTTTGAACATTTATATTTTCCTACTCAAATTCCCTTCATATTGGAAAGTCATATTCTCCCACTCATCTGATTAATCACTTGGTTTTCTTTCATTGTAAGACACCAAACTCTAGTCTAGGTTTAGTTTATTATCCATTCAGTCCTTTCAATTTCTTGGTCTGATTTCTGTGTCAATTATTCCAACCCTTAAGTAAGGAATAAAATGCTCCTGTATGGATTTGTACTGGAGGAAAATCCCGAAAGGATGATGTACATGCCTATTATTATACCTGGGTAATGATAGTGTTTGTTAAATTCATGAGTAAACCACTCAATTACAATCACAGTTTAAAAAAATTATAAGCTAGAACTTCACCATTACCAAACTGAACTTAAACTGTATCTTCTAACTTTGTATTTTCTTCCCTATAAGTTAGAGGACATTTGAAAGCATTTGACCTGATTTTTCAGGTCTCCTATAATTTTCTAGTCAAATGGTATAATTTCTACTAAACCTCAATTTTCTTTAAAAAAAAAAAAAGAAAGCATAGAAGAAAGCACACTAATCTAGAAGTTAGGAGATCTAATTACTTTCTTCAGTTTTGCCATAATACAATCTCAGAAAAGTCATTTTACATTTCATTTTTAAGGGATTTTATATTTTAAATACATTTATAAATAAGGTACCTATTAAATAGACTTTAGTGTTTTTTAATGACATATATTTAAGTACCCAGAGTAAAGGGCATGTCAACTATTTTTATAAATGCATAAGTTTATAAGTGTAATATAATACATACTATACATATATTATACATTTCTGCAGTTGACTAGAAAATATTCAACAAGAGAAAGAATCTTACTGAATACTGACTTTTAGTAACAAAGAAGTGAGCAGAATGGTGACATTTGCAGTCTAATCTGAATATAATTTTTGATTCATATTTACTTTGGGGAGTTACCTTAAGTGATGACTGACATAAGTAACTGAAAATACTTTTAAAGAAAATACTTTTAAAGAAAACTTTAGAAATAATGAAAAATCCTTAAAAAGTGTATTAGAATAATCCTGTCCTATATAAACTGCTAAATGTCTGGCTTGAAACATTTGTTCACTTGAATTTGAACTGAGACAAGAGAGAAGAATAATTAGGTGTTTCAGACAGCCAGCCGATAAGAATTGGATTAGGAAAGTGTAAACAATAGGTAAAAGAATCTAAATTCAGTACATATTTTTCCATCCTCAAAACTCAGCCCCAAAACAAGATTTTTTTTTGTTTTCTTTTTTTTGGGCCAGGATTGCTTGGTCAGCACACCTAATGTTTCCAACTGCCATTGCGCCCAATGTAATTGACACAATTTTCTGACACCCTACTTACCGCTGGATGAAGTGGCCATTTAAGTCTGTATAAATCAAACAGTTTGGACAAAGCTGGCAGTATTTATAATGTCAGGATGAGCAGATGTTTCAAATTTGCCCTCATTTCCATATATATTCTGTTTGAACATGCCCTTGCCTATGTAAATGAAGGAAGCATTTGACTGCACTATTGCTTTAAATTCATTTCTATTCAAGTAACTGGACTGAAGATTTGAAATGATTATAATTTGCGTGGTAGCATTTCAGGAGCTTTTGAGTTAAATTGAAGTAATTTCAGGACCTGCCTGCATCAGAAGGTCCTTGTGTATATGATTAAAGTTCATTCACCTTTAAGCACCTCTGAATGAGAAAAGATAATATTTATTCATACATATTTCAGGTACTCTTTGAATGTAAAGGGTCAAAATGTAGCTCAAGAATTATCTTACATTTAGAAGGTTAATCTTAGGAGGTCAAGTCATTAAAAAAAAAAACCCTTTTCATAATACAACTCTATTTCATTCTATAAATATGCACTTAACAGTTTAACTTAAAATTAAGGGTGAAAATTGGTCCATTATTAGTAGTGTACATAATGTGTTGTATAAAATAAAGGCAGCACTTGGGTTATCAGGAAGCTGCCTCAAAGTTGGGATCTTAACTGCATGCTTCTGAGTCAAAGTAATTTTTTCATCTCCTTTAGAACCTCCACATTTTGTTGTGAAACCTCGTGACCAGGTTGTTGCCTTAGGAAGAACTGTGACTTTTCAGTGTGAAGCAACAGGAAACCCTCAACCAGCTATTTTTTGGAGGAGAGAAGGGAGTCAGGTACAACCTTTTACTAGTTTTGTTTTTGTTTGTTTCGTTTGTTTGTTTGTTTGTTTTTAATCAGTAGAAATGGGGGCCTGTTCTATGAGAAGAAAAACCAATGTGTGATGTAGTTATCCAGCTGTTCCATTAAGAGAATCCAGAAACTGGTTCCTCTCAGAATGAGAGGAGGCAAGCTATTTTCCGTGCCTTAATTCTCAAAGCAGTGTTTTCCTGCTTCCATTTGGTACACAGGGTGGTATATAGAAGTCACCGTTGTATCATGTAAGTGTTATTTTTATTTCTACTTCAGAAATATTAAGAAAAACTACTCTTTTTCTACATAATTGAATTAGCATTTCTAGTATTCAAATATCTAGAATTAAAAAATTAAGTTCCAAATTTTCAATTCTATGAATATTTTAACAAAATTATCACAGGTGAAAATAAGTTAAAAATCATAATTGATAACTTTTGTATATTTCTATTAACTGATATTAATTGATATTATTAATCATATTATTTCCAATTATATGTTATGTAATTACATATTACATACCATATTCAAGTTTTTGTAGGTGTTCCACATCTGGGATGATGAATTAATATTGATGTCACCTAAATTATAAGTTCATTATATTCTTTTAAACTGTCAAATCTGATCATTATTTGCCATTAATCCTATTTTCTAAACATTTTATAATCCAGAATTTTCTATCCACACTAGAACATAGAGATCTACACTCTTTCACACTGACTCTTGGGCTTCTATCTAATTAGAAGAAATATTAAAGTAATTTAAATTATCTTTTTATTTCATTTCTTAATGACTTCCTCTCACAGGAAAACAAAACATTTCTCTGCACTTATTTTTGATGCTTGTAAAAAACTGATTCTTATTCATTTTTAATAATTATTCCTGACCATTTTTGGTTTTGCTTGAATCAATCTTAGGTGTTTTGTTTCATGGTCTTGCTTCTAATGTACTCTTACAAATAACAAACAGGTAGTTTACTGATGAAACTCAATAATCTTCTATAGACAGTACGTTCAAGTTCACTTCTGTTTTTACTTTGGTAGACAAATATTGATTTATGGTATGTAAACTATCATTTTTATACTACTATAATGCTGGATTCTAGGATACTCCATTTGGCCTCCCAGGATTAAATTTGCTGACAGCAAGTTAAAGACAAAATATTTTAATGCAGTAGGAAAAATTGGAAGTAGATTATAGAAGAAATTCTGGATAGTAAAAAGAGTGAACCCACTAGAAGTTTTTCTTAATAGTGTAATATATAGATGATTCACTTAAGTTATTTAAACTCCAGATTAAATTTCCAAAAAAGTTTGGTTTCATGTGGTTTGGTTTAATGATACAAGTCATTTTTTGTTAAAATTTTGTCTTTACATATGTATCTGTGGATCGCTAATTAATCCTTAATAAAAATGATGTATGCTAAAAAGCACCAAAACTCTTTAAAACAAGCAACTTTATTTGATTAGAAGAAAAGTTGATATTCTTTATTTTATGAACTTCAATTAGTATGGATCATTATTATGCATGAAATGTACACTTGAAAAATCATGATCTTTTGATTCAGAACAATATAGAAATTTCAAAGAAATCCACCCTAGAAAGTTTTACCTTTTTTTAAATTTATTTTTTTATTTTGTACCAGGTATTGAACCAGGAGCACTCAATCACTGAGCCTACTCCTCAGTTCCCAGGCTTTTTTTTTTTTTTTTTTTTATCAAGACAGGGTCTCACTAAGTTGCTCAGAACCTCAATAAATTGCTGAGCCTGTCTTTCAATTTGCAATCCTCCTGCCTCAGCCTCCCAAGCCACTGGGGTAACAGGTGTGCACCATTCCGCCTGACAAATTCTTACCTTTTAATATGAAAATATGGATAGCAACTGTTAAGGTTCCTGGACATTTATAATGGGCAGCTAATGAGATACTGGTCATGATGCCAAAATGGTATTATAATCCATTATAATTTATAAGAATGAATCAGAATTCTATTCTGCTTATGTGGTAAAGGTCTTAAGGTTTTTCTGGCAGCAAAATGTAAACCAAGGATTTTGTCATAGTGTGCTTACATATATAAAATTTTTTATACTAACAATACCTAATATCCTTATGTTGTTTCAAAACTGATAGTTATAAGACTCTATGTCAATATTGAGATTGATTTAAAATTTTATATGATGCTATTTAAGCCTGCATTGTTAAATCCATGTGTGTTTAATGATGTTTATACATGTACACATCTTTATATGTGGGTATATGATGAAAGAATATTGAGTTTATTTTTGCATATATGTGTGTGTATTTATACATATTCACATATATTTATAAATGTATATGTAGCTTTGCCAAAATATTGGAACCTAGCATTTAACCTATTTTTATTCTTTCCTCCCAAATTCTGGCTTTAGAATCTGCTTTTCTCATACCAGCCACCACAATCATCCAGCCGGTTTTCTGTCTCTCAGACTGGTGACCTCACTATTACTAATGTTCAGAGATCTGATGTTGGTTATTATATCTGCCAGACTTTGAATGTTGCTGGAAGTATCATCACGAAAGCATATTTGGAAGTTACTGATGGTAATGTCAAACATTTATTTCAGAACGTTCAATTTGTCCTAGGATCTAGAGAGAATGTCAATAGATGTATTTTTTTCCACTTTACATTTTTTTACAGATATTTTAATGTAAAACTTAAGAGTATATTTATACAATAATAAGTTCAAACTTTTACTTTAATATAAATGAACTAATGTCTAGTATCAAGTTAGATTCGTAAAAGCATAACAGTTATCCAAGGAGAAGTTTGTAGTTGTACACAGGAATATTTCATGTTTTGGAAATGAAAAGATTATTTTGCAATCTCTTATTGTAAATTATTGACTATTGTGTTTTCTCTAAATTAAGGTAACAAAATGAATTGGTCATAAATCTAAAGTCTAACAACTCACAATCAATGATAGTGAACAAGTTTTTTTTTTTAAATGGTCTGATGCTATTCTGCTTATCAACTTCTCTGAATGTGATAGATTAACACCAACTATAAAGATACGGTTAATAGAGAATAATCTCCAAATTATAAGAGAGTAGTGATAATTTGAAAAGAGAAAAAATACCTATAAGGGTATCGATGTATATATGTATACACATCTATTTCTATATAAGGAAGATACCTGTAAATACATTGGATAAACACAAGTGGTTCTGCAGAACCATTGGAAGCATAGATAGTACACACAATATATTTAGTCTATGTGTAATCAGGAAATATTTCCAAATTAAAAATAGAACTGAAAGCATAATACAGGTAAGAAGTTTGTTGCTTCTTAAACTAAATATATTAGAGCAATTGAAATGATTTTTTACCCTCAATTCTAAACAGTAGGTAAAGGAACATGTTAAAGACGAAACAGATGTCTTTTAAAGATGGTGATGGAACATGAGTAGGAGAAGAGAATCAGTAATAAAATATATTTGTTCTGTTCATTCAGTTTGCTTGTTTTTAAACTTCAGATAATGATTTAAATATCCTACACAGTAGCATTTCTTTAATTAGAAACTGTGGAGTCATCTTTGACACTCATCCTTCCTTATCACTGTATCCACTCAATAATCTTTCAAATCCATCTGGTTATCTTTATCACTGCTAAACTCCTAGTCCTAATCACCTGAAACTGCCATAACCTACTAGTTCCATCCTTTCTTGTTCACTGCACTCCCAAATTACATTTTCATATTGTTGCTAGAACATTTTTTTTTCTCTAGACCGCTCTTTTCTTCCCAATTATATAAATGGACATATAATATGCATACTGTAAAGTAAGTCAAGTAAGCAAATGCAGTATGATTAATTTATTCACTTAATGACCACTCAGATCAAGATATGGAGCATTTCCCGTACTGTAGAAGGCTTCCAATTATTAGTTAATAAGCCTCTCTCTGCAGAGATAATGACCTTTAACACTTTCATCACCATCGATCAGTTTTGCCTATTCCGGAAACTCAACTAAGTGAAATCACATAGTATCTAATCTCCTGTGTTACAGCATCTCTGGTTCAAAATAATGTCAGTGAAATTCATCCATGTGTATAACAGCAGTTCATTCACTTTTTAGTGCTGTGTAGTATTTCATAGCATAAATAGGCCATAATTTATTTCTGTGCTCTTTTACTGATAGATTGTTTTCAGTTTAAGGTTTTAATTAGTAAAGCTAAATATTCTTATACAGTCTATTGATGGGCACATGCACTTACTTATCTGGGTTTGCTTTTTGGTGGACATGTGTACTAATTTTTCTTCTTTTCATTTTATCATCTAGTTAAAATACATTTATTTCTCAAATGTATGCATTATAATTATTTCTTCCTATTCTCTCTCTTTTTTAAATAATTATAGTTGTAGATGGACAGCATGCCTTTATTTTATTTTATTTTTTTTAATGTGGTGCTGAGGATTGAATCCAGTGCCTCACACATGCTAGCCAAGTGCTCTGTCACTGAGCTACAAACCCAGTCCTCTTCCAATTCTCTTAATGGTTATTTTAATTATTAGGTAGTTAATTTTAATAACGATCAATGGACATTAATTATTTTTCTTTTATTATTAGCACTTTTAGTGTCCTGTTCTTTCCTCGGGCTACAAATATGTTCCTTCTTTTTCTAAGAACTTTATTATTTATTCCTTTGAGATTCAAGTTTTTGATCCATCCAAATTAATGGTGTGAATCAGGGATCAAAACTCTTTTTATTTTCCTCATAAGAAATCTAAATGTTTCTGTATCACTTATTGTCAAGACTATTCTTTCCCTAACTCTGGTGGTATTCTATCATGATTCAGATGAACATAAATTAGTGGTTGATTTGTAATATCTCTTTTCTGGTCCAGTGACTTATTTATGCCATTATATAGGTTCTTACTTATTGTAGCTTTATAGTAAGTCTTAAAGACTGGTAGTATTAGTCTCGAACTTTATTTTCATTGTTTTAGGCTTACTGTTGAAGATCCTCTTCATTCCTTATAAATTTTAAAATAAACTAATAAAAATTCTGTACATATGAGCCCTAAATAAACAATTTAGATTCAATTTTAGTACTGGATAATTTAGTGAGAATTAGCTTCTTAGCAACCTGAAGCTTTCAATTCAAAGAAATGGTATATATCCCACATATGCCTTTTAATTTGTTTATATTTTATAAAGTTTCTCTTAGTAATATTTTATAGTTTCCTGGATAGAGGCCATGAATATAATTTAGTAGTGTTATACTTAAGATATTTTATGTTTTTTGATGAGATTATATATGTATGTTTTAAGTTTCAACATTTTCTAAGTTTCATCATTGAATTGTTTAAGGAAATTTTCTAATTGTACAATTGCCTTTTGTATATTAACCTTATGTCCAGCAACTTTTCTAAATCCACATATTATTTCTGAAAATTTTTTACATAGGTTATTCTGAAATTTTCTTGTACAACATCTGTCAACTTTAGATAGACACTTTTACTTCTTTCTTAATGTGGTACTACTTATGACTTCTTTGTGTTGTCCTATATTGTTTATAAGCTCCAGTATACTGAGTAGAATTGGTGATGGTCAATGTAATCATCGTGATCTTAACTTCCAAGGGAAAGCATTTAATAATTCACAACCACACATAATGTTTACTAGAATTTTTGAAATTATTTCATATTTTAAAAAAATACGGAGGACATTTTTAGAACACAAATTTTCATTATTTGATTGACTAGTGCTCACAGAATAAAATTTATAGTCTTTAAATATGCCTATGTGCCAAGCACCATGATTCTATCACAAATGGTTTGTATTTTTGAGATTAGACATGCATAGAATATTTACTTAAAAAAAATTTGTTTGAATTTTTTAATATTTATTTTTTTAGTTTTTGGTGGACACAACATCTTTATTTTATTATTATGTGATGCTGAGGATTGAACCCAGTGCCGTATGCATGCCAGGCAAGCATGCTACCGCTTGAGCCATATCCCCAGCCCCCCCAAAAATTTTTAAAAAACCTAACTAACCCTGTGAATTAGGGATTTATTCCTAGTAGATTGTTCATTTCCAACACTAAATGGGGTATTCCACCTTACTGTTTTTGTTGCCTGATATTTCATTCTAATAATTACCATGAAAGATATTAAACCCTAATTTGAAATGTGTCTATTAAATTCTAGGTTTGATTTATAAATGTACTACATAGGTGTTAAAAGTTTAAATGTTTCATTGGTATTTTATTGAAATTTATGATTTTATTTTTTATACCTAAAGACATGGATTGCCTTAATGAACTATTAAATCTTTCAGCTCTGGTTTATATATTAGTTTTTGTTAAAAGGACAAGTAGTAATATGTATATAAATGTCTAGTCTTTTACAATTAGCTGAGCACTTTCATACTTCTTATTACATTTAAATCTCCATAGCAATCCCCTGAGCTATTAAGAACAGATATTATTATCCTCATTTTACATGTAGAAAAAAATCTGAGGCTTATAGAAGTTAAAGAACTTGTCCAAAGTCTCATGACAGATGATAGAGCTGATCCTTTTCTTGCTTTATTTTTCTTAACTACCCAGTGGAAATCTTGCAGAAATAGATGACAGAGAAACTGCACCAGTAAACTGGGTTGGAATGGAATAAGGAGGTATGCCTGATGCTAAATATGATGCAAATAACCAAGGACTGTAGACATAAAGAAAGTTGAGTAAATTCCAGGTGTCGGATTGCTTCTATATATTATGAGACTGCCAAACATAACCACACCTTTACTGGACTTAATTAAAATCAATTATAGAGAAGCACTCTGCTGTTAATTTAATTAATGTCTGAAACTACATGTTCATTCATTCCTATAATGGAAAAAATATAGGAGGTCTTAGAAAACCTCAATGCAGTCACATATTTTCATATTTTTATAATACATATCAAAAGGGGCTTCTAATTTGTTATTAGCAACCTCTACTGATAGTGTGGAAAAGATTAAAATTTCTAACCAGTGGAACTACTGGTTTACATTTTTCAACCATGTAGTATCTTAAACATTCCTGCCAAGTTTCAAAATTTATCCTTCTAATACACCTTGCGGTGTTAGCAAATTTCACACCAGTGATGGCATAGACATAATTTGAAGAGTAGAGTGGAAATGCACACTTGCTGATTTCATGCCATTGCTTTTCTTTAAAAAAAATTGAATGCAGAAAATTAGTAATTATTGCATGATAAATGAGGAACAAATTGAAGTGTGACTCTAGCTTGTGAAATCTTTGGTGCATACAACTTTGAACATGACATATCCAGGTTTGTAAATTTTTGCACCCCCAATTTAGTTATTCTGGCAACTGGCTTCCTTTAATCAGGCAATTTCTTAGAATTTTCTTTTGAATATTTGTGTATTTTTTTTACTCTAACTGGTATCCAGATTTTTAAAGCTTTATAGTTTTAATTTTTTCTGTAATTTTATTTTATTTGTTTTCATTCCCCAATACTTGTTTTAGATTTTCCCTAAAGTAATGACTTGATCTCAGCAAAGTTTTCAGGTTGTAGAATTTTTATATAATAAGAATAATTTTATCTACATATAATAAAAGTGCTTCTCGTTGTTACTTTTCATAGTGCATTAAATCTATTATGAAGTAACAGAATGGGTATAAGTGCTTTTGTCATTCCTGATAATTCTAATAGGGGAGTATGATATTTGCCAAGTTTGAACATCTTTATGAGCTGTCTTTGGATCAGGCTGCCAACAATGAATTTGGGCAATTTTTCAGTTTCTTTGAATTTGTTATACTTGGGTAATTTTCAACCCATATCTGTTTTAATAGAAAAAAATCCTAGATAAATAGATAAAGGGTGTTTGATCCTATTGATGTGTGAAAGTCCAAAGCACCTTTTTAAATCCAAAATCATATGCTGCCCTAGTACCATCATTTTGTTGTTGTTGAACACCAAACAGTTTTGAAATGTCACATCAGTTTTTGATCATTCATTAAAATTTGTCTCATGTGTTTCCTTGGGAAAAATGTTTTTATTTGGTTTTGTGTTCTGTTTTTTCATGATTACAGTATTCCATGTGCACCACTACTTATCTACTTCACCATCCACCATCCTCCTTGAGTTCTTGAACTCGTAAATAGGTTCCTTGACAATGCAGCAAGCTCAGTCAGTGGTTGGCCATTTGAAAGGAGGACATTGTATCTCTTCTTAATATTCTGAATCAGTGCATCATATAAATGCATTCTGAATAATGCATGTCTCCTACTTTAATTATTTGTTTAATTATCTTCAGTTTGTTTCAAAGCCTACAGCAACTGCTATTGCTTGGATGATTAGAAAATTGCTTCCAGTTGCAGAAATCTATTTCCTGTTGTTTCTTCTGGCAGTGATTGCAGACCGGCCTCCCCCAGTCATTCGACAAGGTCCTGTGAATCAGACCGTAGCTGTGGATGGTACTTTAGTCCTCAGCTGTGTGGCCACAGGCAGTCCAGTGCCCACAATTCTGTGGAGAAAGGATGGAATCCTTGTTTCAACCCAAGATTCCCGAATCAAACAGCTGGAGACAGGAGTGTTGCAGATCCGATATGCAAAGGTAACTTCCAATGACACACTGGACTTCCTGTTTTGTTCCACTTTGTTCTTGTCTCCAGAAACTTGTGTTGAGACCTCTTAGCATGATTGAAATATTAAGTGAAAGTATGAATATATTTTTTATTTGATGCTTTATTTTTTGCAGGCATTTTACTATATGCACTTGAGATGATTTGACTCATAATTTAGCCCATGGAAAGCAATTTTTTGTTTTATGGAGGAGGATAAAAAATAACTTAACCTGTTGAGGAAAGTAGATGGGAATTTGTGGGGAAAAAAATACCTTCTAAATAGTGGTATGATGCAGTCATTTCATAATGCATTTTCTAAGTTATACTCCAGTAACATTTTATGTGCAGTGTACTTAACAGTTCTTCTATTTTGAGTATTTGGTTCAAAATTTTGCAGTTCAAAAGCACTGTACATGCAAAGGAAGCTATAAAGCAATGCACACACTAAGCATTTCAAATCAGAATGTTAAATGATTGAAAGCCCACAGATTTGGGGGAACAATTTAGGAATTTACCTTCCTGGGTGTCACATCCCATACCTGATTTTTCAGGACTGTATTATTTGTTTTGATTTTCTTTTTCTTTTTTAGGTCAAGATCAGACAAGCTCCTTAAGTATATGATATATGAAAGAGTTAGTTTTGACAGCAGTAAACATAAATTTAAATAGCTTTATTACTTATTGTGGGTGGCTTCTTTGGAATTTTGAATTAGCATCACAGTTAATTTCTGAATGCCACAGAAGTTAATATGTTGTGCTTTTGTGTTACAACTGTTGTGACTTTGTTATTGCAATTGCCAGAGCAAGATGACAATGGTTTTGTTTTATCAAATGTTACTTGAAGATAGAATTATTAGAATAAGCAGAAGTACAGAGGTTTATTGGGCTGCTAATGATTTTAAAATTGAATGGGTGGTCTGTGTTTGTTTTTTGGCATTCCATCTTAAGAAGGGCGAGAGAGTGTTCATTCAGGCAGGAATTTGGCTTTATACTTCATAGACTGCCTTAAGTTTTCATTTAAAAAATTAGGGAAAATAAGAATGATTACTTTTTTAAAAATTATAAGAAAATATTTCATGCATATTCTTTTTCTGCAACATCTGTTTGTCTCAAATATCCATATAAGTGTTACAGTGATAAAATATGCAATAAGCCTTATTTTGTGACTTATTAATCATAGAGATATAATTTAACCATAAAGATTAGCCCTTTGATTTTGAAGAATTATATACCTTAGCAATTATTTATTGTCCCTGGTATTGATAGTAATGTCAATTATAAATTTTTAGTTAATGTAATTAATATTATATTCTATTATACAATGAGAATAATCATATAAATTTTTTTCCTGTCCTCGTGTAATGTTTTGGATTCAATAAAAATATGTTCGATTAAGGGAATGTTCCTACTTAGTGAATTTTAATGCAGTTATCCATATTCATGGACCATATACAAACCTGTAATTGCTTTTCCAGCCCAGTAAGCTCTTGATTGTTGCAAATATTTATCTTCTGTCTGCCTCTGCAGCTGGGTGACACTGGTCGGTACACCTGCATCGCATCGACCCCCAGTGGTGAGGCCACGTGGAGTGCTTACATTGAAGTCCAAGGTAAATTATTGTTTTTGCCTTAAAAAGAAGCTAAAAATGAAGTTAGTTGTTTACTTTATGGTAAATTGGTGAAGTAAACATCCTGTCCCTGAGTAGATGTGTGGATAAGTCATCTACATTTATATGCTTATCTGTACATGTATAAACAGCTTCCTTTTATCTCTTTCCCACTTGTTAGAATTTGGAGTTCCAGTTCAACCTCCGAGACCTACTGACCCAAATTTAATCCCTAGTGCCCCTTCAAAACCCGAAGTCACAGATGTCAGCAGAAACACAGTCACTTTATCATGGCAACCAAATTTGAATTCAGGAGCAACTCCAACATCTTATATTATAGAAGCCTTCAGGTAGAGTGAAAAGGACGTTTTTTTGGTTGTTCTTTTGTTTAAAAAAAATATGCATTTAATATGCATGTTCTAACTTCTGTATCTGTCCTTAGCCATGCATCTGGTAGCAGCTGGCAGACCGTAGCAGAGAATGTGAAAACAGAAACATTTGCCATTAAAGGACTCAAACCTAATGCAATTTACCTTTTCCTTGTGAGGGCAGCTAACGCTTATGGAATTAGTGATCCAAGCCAAATATCAGACCCGGTGAAAACACAAGGTAAATATTGATTTACTTAACTTGGTGACACCTACTTATCCTTAGAGTTATAATTGTACAGGCACATCATTTGTACCAGATGCTAGGATTGTACATTTACACTCTGTTCAAAATTGCTTAACTAATTTTTTAAATACACAGACACAGTGTCCACAACTTTATTATTTTCTGTTTTGGGAATAAGAAGGTAAGGTTGATAACAGAGAGAACTGTTTCTCATAAAAATACAAATCCTTAAGGCAAAAATATTACATGAATGTTTGTGTATTGTATTTAATTTGTTGATTTTTAAATATAGATATATGTGGATATAATATCTTAATCATAAGGTAATTGTATTTAACATTGAATATACTATTCATGTTTAAATTCAGTACTCATTACCTTCTGGGTAAATTTTCAGGATTTCTATCTTAATCAAGTCATACTTTTTCAAAATCACACAAATGTAGGAGATATTTGGGAACTTGTTCTTAATTCTTATGTCCAATCACCCTCCTACAGAGCATGGAAAAAAATTAGGTCATTATATTTGTTTGACTAGTCTTGCATTGTTGATTATGTCAGCCAAAATATTTGAGACTCTTCAGTGGAAAATACCTATAGATTGATCAAAGGTAGGTTGAAGAAATAGATAAAAAGAAAAAAAGGACATGTTTAAGGCTGTTTCTAAGCTATTTAAGACTCAAAATTTGGTTCACTTGGACTGTTTTGGATATGGCTTTTACATTCTCTGAAGAGAAATTATTTTATCTCTCAGTAGACAAATTATTATTACCTTTTACTCTCTTGCTCATTTTATTATTTTAGTGCTCTGATAGAGACTCTTATATTACATTGAAAAAAAGAATCATTTGAATTAACCTTTACCTTTCTTATAACCTAATGTCATTGCAATTAAATGTACTTGTTCTTATATTAACATGGAAAGATAATTCTTAGAAGTGATAATTAGAAATACAAAATTCTTTTTCCAACATAGAGGGGAATTGACATTTCTCTCATAAGTTAACATTTCCAAAGGAATAATCGCAAATTAGTTCTGATGAAAGAAACAAGTTATGTGCAAGGTGACTAAAAGACCAGAACAACTTTTCTCCTGGTTCAGAAGGGATCTGCACATTTTGTCTTTTCTAATGTGTGTATTAACAATCTTTATGGAAGGGATTCTGCCTCAGAATTCAAGAAAAAGCAAGCTGAGCTAAAGAACATGCCCACGTCTGTCTGTCTCTGGCTGTGTGAATTCAACACACCCAGATGCCTATATTTGCTGTTATGAGTCACCTCATCAGGAGCTTTAATACACTTGGAGCCCGCCCTGAGGCAGTTTGAGGTTTTCAATATTGGATACGCATTTGTAAAGAATGCAGAAACTATGACAGCTGTAAAATGAATTTAAACTTTTGTCCACAGTATAGGAGTCTCTATCCAGTGGACTCTAACCAAAAGTCATACTACTACTTCATCTGATTCTATCTTGCATTCATGTGAACGGTTTTATAATCTATACTGTCATTTGTAAGGGAGGAGGTAGTTAAAATTTTATCTGAATATTAATTTTTTTTAAAAAAAGAAAGTTTTAATCAACTTCCCTTTGTTTATGCATAGCTGGAGGAACAACCTAAGGGAAATGAATCTGTGTCAACCAGAAACTGATATATGGGGAAACAGGCACACATTTGGAAGTCAAAGACATTTTCATCTCAGCTCTTCAGTCTTGTAGCTCTGTGACATTGAGGCAGATAGGCAATCCTTCTGCATTTCAGTCTTTTTGCCTTTGGAATGGAACTAAATAAGTGCATTCTTCAGGACTGGACACAGACTGAATTAATCTCTATCAGAACAAATTAATCAACAAATAATCATGCAGGATAAATTAAATCAATATATGAGCATAGATTTAATTTTTTTAAAAAAATGCCATAATTACTTTTGTTTCTTTCAGTGTCCAGATTAAAAATAAAGTTCATAAAATTTGCAGCTATCATAAAACCAAGAAAGAGAGCTAGTCAGCCAAGTGAGAGAATCAGAATTAAATATATCTTGACAGACTGGAATGAAGAGCCAGCAATAACATGATTGAAATTAACAGAGCAAATTAAAGAGTCGGGTACTTGAACCTGAGGTTTAAAAAATTAGCTATAAAAGGATAGTCTGAGAACTCTAGGCTTACAGGAATAGAAGTGTGTGCTTGTTGGTGCTCTGGGAGGTGGGCAGACTTAGTGTTTAGAGTCAACTCAAACACCTATCTGCAACCCCTGAGTGATGTAGCTGCCAAAAGAGCCAATGTTGTCTTTGCTGTAATCGCAGAATTGTTTCTGGATCAAGGCGTCATCTCTTTCACTGCGAACTGGTCAAATCACAAATGTGTTTGCTGTGAGCACTGCATTTTTAGATGGACTTTTAAGAGAACACAGTGCAGGAGGCTGCATGGAAAGCCGAAGATCACTTCACAGAGGAAATGCAATGCTCTTGGCATGATTAGCCCCAAAACAAAGAAGTGTTAGAGGAAACATGACATCCTTTCCTTAATATTTTAGGAGACTGCCATGTGGTCAATAACATGCTTTTTTCTGACTCCAGGCCACAAGAAGGAACCAATGAGTGAAAATAATGGAGGCATGTTTTATTACTTAGTTCTTAGTCTGCTTTTGAGACACTATACAACCCAACTGAGGATCATGATCATAGTAGAAATCTTGGAAAGGACCTAAAAAAGAAAAAAAAAAAATTCCACCAGAGGTTACAGAATGCATAAGCTGTGAGGGAAAGGAAATCATGCAGAGAGTTCAGGGAAGATTTGTTGGCAATTGATTTCCAAGGGAACAGGCATAGTGTCTATAACCATTTGGGAAATATGGTTGCACAAGAGTCTTCCCCAAGTGGAGACACCAATGAATGAGCTGTAACCAAAAGTTAAATATGCATGGATACAGAGCACAGGTTTGTAGTATAGGAGTCAGGGAGATGGACCTGTGTCATATTGGAGTTAGCTCCTTTTCACCAAGGACAAGATTGGACTCTGCAAGGAGGAGGAGCTAAGAAACTGGCAGCCAGGGGTGGAATTGGGTGGATGGTGGTCATTGTTGGGATGGGGTGGCGGTCACCACTATTGCTATTATTCTACCTCCACATGTATAATCCTTGAAACATTCTTGAGCCCTATTATTTAAAGGAAATGTACACTTACCCAGAATGAAAGACAGTATATAGAGTATCCATAAGAAGATGACAGTTATTATAAATAGTGGGTGAATTCTGAACAATGCGTAGAGGGATTCCAGTACCTGTGAAGCTGTAGGGATAGAGCAATATTAAGGTTTCCTGCCAGTCCAATTTTGAGTGTGGGGGAAAAGCCTTTCTGAATTATAAAATGTTTCTTTCAGGAGGAGAAAAAGAAAAATAAAAGGATCAATTCATAAGCATTTCAAAATCACATTTTTAGGCATCACTTTCAATATTTCTTTCTAATATGAAATTTTCTAAAATAACATAAAAGACTGCCATTGCAAAAATGGCTAAATTTTGGGAATTTTTGAGATCGAGAACTCTTTATTAAGCATTCTTCACTGTGATACAATAACTAACCTAAATCATCATCAATTAAGATGATGTTAATAAGTGCTTTGCTCATGGATCTAATCAGATTTATTTTATTGGCCTTAGTAGTGCCTTCTGCATCCCATATTCCTGCCACTTCCTTATCCACCCTGCCTGCCTGGGAAGAGACCAGGGTTCTCTTATGAAATGTAGCTGCTGGGCTTCTTTCTGGGCTTGCTTCTGCTGCCCATGTTTCTCTGCTGTTCCTTGCCCAACTGTCTGCTAACAGGTCTGGTTGTTCTCCTCCTTGCTTAGTTGGGATCCTTCTGGAAGGTTATAACAGACTCGGAGAGGACTGCCTAGCCTCACTCTCAGCATGAACATGATCATGACATGGTGGGAGCAGCCCTTACACTTTACTCTTTGCCATTGTCTTTTTGTTTCTTGCCCTCGGGCTCTCTGCAGGCCCTCTACTTGTTCCCTTCCCCTCCTTTTTCTCTGTATGTCCCTAGTCTTCTGATCCTAATGAAAAGGTTAAGTTGTTCTTATTTTGTTCTGTAGCACAGGTTGGCTTCCTAGGCCCAGTGAGTCTTCTTTTCTAAGAGTGGCTGTGATTGAAAGGTCTGGTTCACGCTGCTTTGCTTCAGTTCAGTAGCATGGTGCGGGGCCTGACCGGGTCTTCTTGAATCCTTGCAGATGTTCCACCGACGAGTCAGGGGGTGGACCACAAGCAGGTCCAGAGAGAACTGGGAAACGTCGTCCTACACCTCCACAATCCCACCATCCTTTCTTCCTCATCAATTGAAGTGCACTGGACAGTGAGTTGTTCTTGTAATATTTGATCTCAGTCTTAATAAGCAAGTGGCTTGTCTGAGATCATTATATATGTGTATATACATATATATATATATATAAAATATATATATAAATATATATATATATATATATATATATATGATATAATTTAACTACCTGTTGATCACTTCTATGCCATGTCATGTAACACATGACTGTCATTTACTATGGTAGCCATGGATGGACTTTTATCAATAAAAGCTTCTTATCTGTGTATATTTCTTTTTGTTTATATAATGAAATAATGAACTCTACCCCTCTCAGGGGACAAAACTCCAAAATATTAACTGTGAATTTGCAACTTATGATAGGCCGATTATCAAAGGATTTTTTTTTAATCTTAGAAATATTTCCAAGTAGTATTAAGTAGGCTTTTAAGATCAGGAAGTAGTAAAACACATGCCCTTGACCTTCACGTGTCTCTAGCTGATATATCTCAGAACTGCTATGACACTTCATATTTATTCATAAGGCACAGAAATTAATATCATCCTACAAAAGATAAAAGATTTTTTAAGTATTAACTTAGGTGAACTAGAAATACTCAGGGTGAAACCTGATAGAAAAAAAAATGTGTTTTGTTGCACTTCATTTTTTATTATTTTGCAATAAGCAATAAAAAGCTATGAGTGATTGCATTTTTATTTTTGTCATTTTAATAGGTGGACCAACAGTCTCAGTATATTCAAGGATATAAAATTCTCTATCGACCATCTGGAGCCAACCATGGTGAATCGGAGTGGTTAGTTTTTGAAGTGAGAACTCCAACCAAAAATAGTGTGGTTATCCCTGATCTCAGAAAGGGAGTCAACTATGAAATTAAGGCTCGCCCTTTTTTTAATGAATTTCAAGGAGCAGATAGCGAAATCAAGTTTGCCAAAACCTTAGAAGAAGGCAAGTATATGGAGTGTGTGATATCTGTGCACTGCTACTGCACAGATATCACATTTGTTGGGCTTTTATTAACTTAGAGTTGTTAAAATGTTAAGAGTTCTTGAAGGTTTGACTGTCTTTTTTTTTAAATGGATTCTTTTTAGCTATACACGATAGTAGAATCCATTGTTTAACTGTCTTGATATTAAACATACTTTGTTAAGAAATTTTGTTTAAATAGAACAACTATTTTCTGTTAAACAGAAAAACCAAAATGCTGTAAGAGTTGACTTGCTTCGTTAGTGGCCTATACATAAAAAAAGTGCAAATGTGAACCTTGTGTTACTTAATGACATAGACAGGGTCTGTTGAATTACTCAGAACTCCAGTCCACATTCGAAGATGGACTCACTCTCAATTTGCTTGCCTTTCCACCACCCATTTATTGAATGTTACTTTGATTAATGATTTATAAAGAAGTTGAGTAACACCTGGGTTTTCCAGGACTTTCCAGAATGATCATTCTGTCCTTTTTCGTCCTCTATCTGGAAATCCCTCAGTTCTAGGCAAACCAGTATGACTGGTTACCATAAAACTAGAAATTAAAAAGTATTGTTTATGTAAATAGTTTTGTGTCACAACTACACTCCATAAAAACATTAATAATGTCTCCTAATATGTCCTTGCCACTTCTTGGATTAGTGATAGGTTGTGGTTAATATCCTGATAGCATTCATTTTTTTAAACTTTTCATGTTTTGGGGAAACAGGAAATAAGGGTTACAAAGCAGTACAAATAGAAGGCCTTTCATGTTTCATGGAGATAATCTATATAACTTTGATTATGGAAATTCACAATAACATCAGGTTGGTAAGGTTGAGGAAAAAAAGAAGTAATTTTGGACTATTAACATTTAAGTGGGTTACATCTTTGAATCATGCAGATATTGAATTTAAAATCCATATACTCCTTTTTAATTTTAAATATTAATTTTAATCAGTTCACTATTGATATTTACTTATATTAATTAATAAGTATTAATTATCTGCTTTTCAGTGTTCTGTAGCACACTTTAATATATCTGCTTTTTGAAACAATTTAATAGCACCAAGTGCCCCACCCCAAAGTGTAACTGTATCAAAGAATGATGGAAATGGAACAGCAATTCTTGTCAGCTGGCAGCCACCTCCAGAAGACACTCAAAATGGAATGGTTCAAGAATATAAGGTAATACACATATGCTAATTTACTGATGGACACCCTCTTCTACTCACAAGGCTAAATAAATTGTTTATAGATATTTGGCGCCATCTGCTGGTAAAACTACCAACATGTACAATTATTTATAGACCTGGTCTTGGATAGATTGTGGAATAACTTCTTTGCTAGAAAAGTTACTTAAAAAAAAAAAAAAAAAATTGCTAGAGAGAGTCCAAATGGTTACAAAACTTACACATCCATCTAATTCTACAAAATCAACAGATTTAAATGGTAATAACATTTTCCTCTCTGAAAAATGCTTTAACATATTTTTTCAGAATTGGATTGCACTATGGAATTGGCTATATAGAGAGTCACATTCTACCAGATTTTTTTCTTTTTAATTTAATTTAACTCTTTTACATCTTTGAAATTTTAGAAACTTTGAACAAAGTTGGAAAAATTATTTTGGTGTGTGTGGAAATCATATGTTTATATATCTCTTGTTTTTGTTTCAAAACAAAATATCATGTCTCAGGAAATAGTCCTCTATAAATTTCTGTATGTTTATATGAACTTTTAAAACATGTGTGTATTATCGGTTGATTTAATCCAGTGGTTCTGAATAATTATTTTTCCCTATGAAATAAAGCAGCTCTATTCAATAAATATGGACAATCTTAACATGGATTCATTTTAGGCAAATATTTTCAAGCATGCCAAGATGCATCAAAAACTGAGATGGAGACATGAGACTTAGCTGAAAGATTGTGTTTGAACTTATTAATAAATCTGTATTATAGGATGATCCTAATGTGCTGTCAAAATGGATAAATATAAATAGAAAATATATGTGTACATTTTTATGTGTACTTTTTCGAAAGTTACATAAACTTACTACATACTAGAAGAATTTTAACTATAAAAGATGTACTTCTCTGCCGAGTGATCTGTATTTCTCTGATGTCTGAGTCATTTTTTAGTTAACTAGCTAAATGATGATACTTAGAATATTAATTTCTATATGTAAATATTCCAGACCATTGTTTAGGATGTGAAACTGATTTTATGAAGGTGATATGAACTTATTGATTCATAACTGAGGTTAGAGTAGACACACCTTGATATGTGTCCATTGACAGGACATAGGACATATCTACCTTCACTAGTATAGGTCAGGGATTTTCAAGTATAGGCCAGTAGCAGAATCACTGGTAGAACCATTTTCCCAGTACAGGTGCCTTGCCACCACTCTCGGAGATTCCAATGCAGTTGATCTGACAGGTCCCTTACATGTGTATCCTGGTAAATCTCTCTAGGTAGTCTGATGTGCATCCTTAGTTAAGACCCAAATGACGTCCATACATTCTTTTGAGTGGCAAATTTATTTGTTTGATGACTAAAAAACAATCTAAGCTTAATTCGGGGTATGATATTTTATTTTAAAATTATTTTTAAATCAAATTGAAAAACTACATTTTGTGAAATTTAAGTATATCAATAGGGCTGCTTTAAAATATATTTAAAATATGACTACAAATGCACTGTGGATGTTTCGAGATATTTTAAATAAGGCTTTTTCTAGTGTAACTGAGTTATTAGAAGGTAAAAATATCCATACTTTTAAGTGCTTTCTCACAAGTTTCAAGGTTATTTCAATACTGGTGAGTGACAGGATGCTATGTTTCAGTCTGGAAAAATAGACTGTTACAGAGGATTTTTAAGGATTTAAAATGAGGTGATGTCTCAGCTCTCACGCAAAATTGTATAATGTAGGCATTTTCCCCTAAGAGTCAAAACTCATTTCTTTCCTCAAGAAATGTGAAAGGGTGGATTTCACTTAACTTCATGGTCAATTTAAAATAATAAAATGCCTTTCAGAACCTGATTGACTGGTACAAAATCAGTTTGTGGCTTCGGTTCAGCTGTGTAATGTAATTGGGGGGAAAAAGATTCACAAAGGAGTCTTTATTTCCAAATGGTCAGATCCTGATATAGTGTCTGACCATTCAGTGGCATTACACGTTGAAACTATATTAAAATAATATTAAATTTCAAAGAACAAAATTAAAGGTTATTGACCAAATAGTAGAGGATGCTTGTGTTTTTAGATTAATTTAAAATCCCATTTCCTATTCCAGTGTGGACAGTAGTCCACTTGAAGCTAATCCTACATTTAGCTCGAGGATATCATAAGGAATATAGAGTGTTCTTCACTCCTGCATGGATTATTCTCTTATGGAAACTGAATCCAAATACAATTTCCTATCACAAATATCACTATAAAAGTTAATGAGGCATACTATAACTTTCTCATTATAGACTGTCTTTCTTGCACTTCGAGTATGTACTCTTATTCTTTATGATCTTATGGATGTTGTGAAAGACTAGTTAATATTCTCTTTTAACTATAATACCAGATTGCTAATTTATCTCATTGATAATAGTTCAGCGTACCAAAAGCTGAATAAAAGCCTAGGATGGTTTTTTCCTCCTGGAATGCAGTTTTATTTTTAATAATCTTATTTATACATACTTCTTTGGATTATGCAGAAACTCACTCTCCTTTTAAATCAACCACTTTATGAGTTTGATATGAAATGTGATGTGACAGTGCCAGGTGATTCTATCCCAGGGAACTGTTGAAGTGTCAGACAGAGTTCCTTCCTCACCTTTGTCTCGTGAGGCCTGGTCATCAGGCACCACATCTATCACACAAGTGTTGAATAATTTTACGCACATTGTTATTCTTTACCTGGATATGTATAACTTTTTGCAGAGTCCTGTTTTTCCTGACAAATAACCTCATGCTATTAAAATTTTTTTAAATATAAAAAATAAAAACCTAATGATATGCGATATGATGTAGATTGAGAGGAATGATTATCTTTAAGCAAAAGTTTGCAGACTCACCTTATACAATCCTTTAAGATATTTGAGAAAGTGTAACTATTACAATTCTCCAATAGGGAGCTATTACCAATACTGGGCTTGACTGGAAGAGTCTTCTCAGAGCTCCATCTTGGAGAAGAATGACTTTTTTGAAACCTTGTGTTGGTGGTTCATGAGGCATCTCAACTCTGTCAAGGTCTAAAGTCCATCTTCAACCTATGTTGATCTTTGCATTATCTTGGAAATTTTACCAGCTTGATTTTCATTATGTACTTCTTCCAGGTTTGGTGTCTGGGCAATGAAACCCGATACCATATAAACAAGACAGTAGATGGTTCTACCTTTTCTGTGGTTATTCCCTCCCTGGTTCCCGGGATCCGATACAGTGTGGAAGTGGCAGCCAGCACTGGCGCTGGACCTGGGGTGAAAAGTGAGCCTCAATTCATCCAGTTAGGTGAGTGTCCGAGCAGTCCAGTTTCACAGTCTGTCACTGTACTACTTGTCCTGCTTTGCTGTTTTTACATATGTCTGAGCCACTGTTAGAAGTTAATAGAATACAGAAGTGAGGCTTATAACTACAGTGGTGTTAGCTTCACTTAAAATACACTCACTCGCACACAGTGTTATGCCTTGGTTACCAACAAGGCCACTTTCCAACAAAGACATTGTTAAGCAATTTTGTCCTTGTGTGAACATCATGGAGTGTAGTTACAAAACTAAGATACATGTGATGTCATTAGCCAGTATCATCGTATACAATAGTCAATAGAAATCATTCCTCGTTGATAGAAACGTTGTTATGTGAGGCATAACTGCAGGTATCTTATAACTAAACTAACCTTATCCAAATACACATTTTAGATGATAGTTCAAATAAAAGTTAGGTAATATTCAGTATCATCATAACTGTGTCCTGTGGAAATTTTTTCATTTATTTAAATAATTCTACTAATCAAGTCCAAGGACACTGCAGTGAATAGAGAAGTCATAGTGTGTTCTCATGAGACCCATAGTTACCTGGATTAAAAATCCAAAAATTCTTCCAGGCACAGCTTAAACCAGGTATTGGAAATGTATAGCAGTGTGCAATTTATATTTACATTTATTGTCTGTTTAAAGTTGTAATTGCTTTCTAGAAAAGAAGGAGATTCGTTGAGACGTCAGAGCACTGGAATGTTTCTATGCTAATTACTCAAATTTAAATACAATTTGTATTTCAAAAATTTTACATGAATTAAAAAAAACAGCAAACCTGACCTGGGTTTCATTACTAGAGATCACTATAGGCAAACTATTATGAACATACTATATGAATTAGTTAGTGATTGCTATTTACATGTAAACAAGCCACAACTGAAATGCCAATAAAACAATATTGCAACTAAGAAGTGGGGAGAAAAAGGTCAGATTTTCAGAGTTAATATTTAAATTAGGAAAGAGGCCAAGAAGTATACAGTCTGGTTTGTGTCTGTATATTGCAAATCAGAAGTTAAGCATCAGTAATATTTTATGTCAGATGCAAATTATGAAAAAGCATCATTTGTAGCAATCTTTATGCTTCACAAATGAGTACATACTATTTTGGCATATTAATAAGTATGAATGACATCCTGGAATTATTTCATAATAAAGTAAAAGAAATATTTGACTTTGATTAACTCTATTGCAATACCTAAAGAACTTCATATTTATTTTGAAAATGTTGTTAATGTTCCATTGTTAAGACAATGCCAGCTGCTATAATGCATAAACTTGCAAAGTTTATATGACATAACACAGTAAAGTCTACTACAATTCCAGTTGTCCAGTAGGTCTCTGTTTCACCTAGTGTTTGTGGGTTGTAAGCTGAAGAGCCCTAATTTCTTAATGTGGGCTTCCAAGGTTGTCCCTGCACCAACAGAATGCAAGAAAGGAAATATATATTCTATGGGAGGCTTGAAATGATGCAGGCTAGAAAGGTGCACATTACTCTTGCCTGATGTGATTATAAGAAGGTGAACGAGGACAGCACAAAATGAAAGCAGCGGCCAGGAGCTGCCTCCCAGCAGTCAATTATGAGAGGCCCATTCAAGCCTTCAGTGGGGCTTGCTGACTGTCAAAATCTGGGCCAGAATTTTATATTATTTTTTGGACTCTTTTTTTCCATGTTACACATTTTTAAATGATTATATAAAAACTTCTAAACAAAAATAGCTTCCTGATTTATTTCAAGCAATACAGGAAACTAGGAAAAATCATTTGATGCATCTGTTGCAATGTTATATAACATAGGGAAAAAAGTTCATATTGAAAAATTATAGCTGATATTCAAATATTTGTCCACTTTTTTCAAATGTCAGCATTAGGTTATTAAAACTGAAATTAAAAGGTATGTCTTGAATGACCCTAGCCATTGTGGATACTGTTTACCTGTTTTTAGAACATATGATGTTTAGTCCTAGTTTTTGGAAGATGAATTGGAAAAAGAACCATATGTAATTTTATTTATTTAAGATTTAAATCATGGGATTTAAGGGTCAAATTTATTTCCTTGAAATTATAAGTGGGTTCCAGTTTTCCAGATCTTAATATAGCCTCAGCTGCAGGGAGACAAAGCCTAAGGTAGAGAGGGGCTGCTTTAATTCATTAGTCACACTGCACTTTATTCTGTTAAGTCCATCTGGTTGCTCGCATGGAACCTCTCTGGGCTGTTTCCATAAAATCTGAAGCTACCCAACATAACCTTGCGCAAATAGGCATGAAGTCTATAAACCTAGCAGATACAAAGGATGTATTAGGAATAAAAAGAATAGGTCTGGTTGGTGAACTTTTAGAGGATGAAGTGCTTTTAGGATAACCAGAGATAAAAGGGTCTGGAACATGAAATAAAACTTTCAGTCAACAAACAGTTGAAGGCAGGTGACTGCTTGTGAAAATAAGGTTTTCAGCCTTGATCCTCCATAGTATGAAATCTGGAATCAAGAAAAAAAAAAGGAAATATCCTCCCCCTGCAACATATATACACACAACAGAAGGAATTCGGCATTTCACAGAGAAAGGCTGTTTCCACAGCTATTGAATGCTGCTGATTTTTTCTACCAATTATTGTATTAAGATGCAATATCATTTAATAAGAAAACCTGTAGGAGTTTTTTTTTTCCCCCAAGAACTGTTATCCCTATCGAATGAGTTATACTAATTATTTCTATGGAAAATATATTTTTAGATTGGAAAGAGTTCTATTTCAAAGCAGACTGTGTTATATTAGCAGATTGTATTTCTCTTGAATTTGGTCTGGAGATCTGTGAAGCAGCTATAAACCCACTTGACAGGGCTCCAAGGGATTTGGTTGTGGATGTTTACATGGAGCCCAAGGGAAACTCTTTTGTCCTGACGGAGAGCATAGTGCCTAAGTATCCAACCCTGTAACTGGACGTCCTTCTCACAGCAGACTGTTCAACCAGCAGATGCCCTTCTGGCTTTTTTGACCTGCCAAGATAGCTCCTCTCTGGGAGAGCCCCAGCTGGGAGGAGAGCTCCTGCCAGGTGTGTTAATCAGATTCAACTCAGAGAGGTGAAGCAACAGAACACATGAACTAGCAGGAGTGGGTTACTCACAGATCCACAAGAGCAGAGGTGCTGACAAGGGCCAGGCAGAAGGCCCAGGGGCCAGTGAGCAGGGCCTGCAGGTGGGGAGACAGAGAGAGAGGACCTGTGGGCTGAGGGTTTTATTGGTGCTCAGGGTGTTGTTTTAGGAGGTTTCCTGCAGGGAGTTCTAATTGTTCTTAGAGAAAACTGGAAGGATTCCACGGGGTCATACTGTGACTAAGAGTTGTCAATTCTGCATATCTGAAGTCCTTATGAGTGGGCTGATGAGTCAAGGAGGTGGTATCTCTGTGGCCCATGGGGAGGTGGTCACCAGGAGGCAGTTATATAAGGGGGGATATCTGCACTGACCATACTGAGGAATTGGGAGGAAGCAGAGAGCTGGCAACTCTGTATGGGTGACTAAACCCTTCTTTTAGTATTTAATCTTAGATTCAAAATGAATGCAGAAGCAACATAAAATTTTAAGAGTGTGGTACATGAATCTTTTCCAAGTTAAATGATTTAATAATTGTGAGAAAGCCCCAATCTTAATGAAATGCAGAAGCCCCTTCTTATGTCATCAGATGTTGTGGGGGAAGAACATTAAGACTACAGACACCACTGGGAATTCTCCCCAGTGGGCAACCTCAGGACTAGCATCACAAGGTGTCTACAAAGTGATATACAGCTTTGATGGAAGAGCGACAGTCTTGCGTTTTCTACAAAGACTTTGCAGGCTGCTCTGTGTGACCTGAAGTAATGGCGGGCTTGAAAAATATCATTGTAGGCTTAAGACATAAATGTAAAATAAGCATATTTTATTAGCCATATATTCCATCAATTTTTAATTCTTGAATCAAAATATCTAACCGAGAATGTCTTTTTGACTATTCATAACACTTAATAATTCTTTTACATATTTAATGTTCTTTTCTTATATCTATTGCTGGTGATGGTTATTATTTTAAAAGAAAGATTATTCATAGTTCTTACAATGGTAACATTATCTTAATCTGTCATTGTGTTTTAATGATCTTTAATTTTATAGGACATTCTGACTGTGGGTTCAAATAATATGTTTCTAAGACAGTGAAGGATGTTGCAATATAATCTTGGGGAGGAGTATGCAAATACACACACAAGCACGCACACACACACCATTTTTCAATATCTAGCTTATAGAAAAAGTAAAATTTTATTATAAGCCTTTTTACAGCACATATTTGATGTTTGTGTAGAATTTTGAGAATTTTTCTACCTTTTCTATACATATAATATTCAGTACCTATTATTTATTTGTACAATTGCATTAAAGTATTCTTGGTTTTTTGGGGTTTTTTTGCATTTTATGGTATTAACACTTTTATATTTATCTCAATTAGTGAGCACTGTTTCTCTGAAACTCAATCTAAACAGGATCCCACAAACTTGTAAAATAAAAAGAAAACAGAGTGCCACTGTCCTTGTTTCAGCTAAGATCACACAAAATTACATCCATACTTCTTTTAAATTAAAATGAACGAATTTTACTAGTCATCTCATGAACTCATTCACTTCCCTGCGATAATGCAGAATGAAAAAGAGAAATCATGGTCCAAAATTAACAAAATATAATGTCAGGTGTTTTACATCATATATATATATATATATATATATATATATTCTTACATCATCACACTGAGTCTTACACCCAACTCATCAGAAGATGGCCTTTCAGATTCTCGTGGAAACCCCGTGTCACCTGAAGACCAGGTCAGCCTTGCTCAGCAGATTTCAGACGTGGTGAAGCAGCCAGCGTTCATCGCAGGAATCGGAGCAGCCTGCTGGATCATCCTCATGGTCTTCAGCATCTGGCTCTACCGACACAGGAAGAAGAGGAACGGACTTACTAGTACTTATGCGGGTATCAGGAAAGGTATTCGCTTTCTCAGGTTTTTCATATTTTAATATGTTTATGAAACTCTTAGTTTTAAACCTGACTCCACATGATTCACAGGGACACATATCCTACCTGTTAAATTGTTTCAATATACAGCAATTCTCTAAAGTACTTTTATCATGATATCTGCATATGAACAACTCTCATGTGGCAGTACAACAGAGTTAATCAGTTTCTTAGGACCCAGATCCTTTCAAATATGTTTCACTAAGGTACATCTAGGCTTGGCTGTGATACTGTGGCCTTCTTCTCTTAGGCAATTATTTTATTACTTTATTTCTTGGGGGAAATTTGTAATCTCCCCGTCACAGGAATTATAAATTGGGGCTTTAAACTCACATAGTTTTAAGGGGATTGTTGTCCTTTGAGAAGCAACAAAAAGAGAGACTTCTTTGATTATTTCTAGAAGCAGTCCTTTCTTAGTGAATATGATCACATTATGAGGAGTGTCCTGCCTAGGGAGGGAAGAGTGTTAGTACTTTTCCATTCATAGACTTAAGATCCTGCAATCAAATGTCTTATACACTGCCCATTAATGATGATGATTTTGTTACATACGTCTTTATAATTTTAGAAAAAAAAAGATTATTTGCTATTATTTACATTTTCAAAGATGGACTGACTATGCCAATATAATTCATAAATACCTTTGCTACATATCTTCAAGTCCTATGCATTGTTGACAATCTTAACATTCAGGCACATAATCCTGCTCCTTCCTCTCCCCCAAATATATCCACCAACTCTGGTCCTCATACCTGGGCTGTAGATAATGTGGCCTCCTAGTTTTCAGATTGTAGTCCCTTTTTATGTCTTTAGTTCAATAAAACGATTCATAATGTTGCATTTTACTCTCAAAAATGTCATGGTTTGGATTGAAAATTACACATTCACCTTTGTTATAGAACCAACATAACAAAAAAGTTTTGCTTTGCTGCAAAGCAAATTTAAAGATAATTACCAAGAAATTAAGTCATCCCTTCCTTGACTGTTACTTGTCCTTCTTTTCCTAATTGTCTACATATTTCCTGAGAGAACATTTTCTGTGTATCTTGGACAGAGTATTTCTCTAATCACATGGTTAAGTTGGAATTTTCAAGACTAGGTAAAACTTGAATGTCGTTACACATTTATAAAACATTCTGTGTCAACAGTGTAGGATATTTGTGCTGTTCCTGGAGGTCTTGGGAAAAAAGAGTCAACAGAGATTCATCATCAATACTGTGAAATAAATCCATGTGCCTCCTGCCTGCGGCTCGGCAGCAGTCTCTTTTTCTTTTTATTGTGGGTTCGGCAGCAGTCTCTTCATATGCATAGATTTGCCTTAGCATTATCACCCTGAAATATTTTTTTTTCAGATATGTGTCCTACCTAGACATGAAGCAAAATGTCAGTACCCCTGCCTGTGAAATGGAAAACAAGGGCTTAGAGGTTACTGAGAGTAGTGCTCATTATGTATAGAAAGTAGAACAATGTCAGGCACATGTGTTACTAAATAGAACCTTTGACTGCAAATCCATGCAGAGACGGGGTTTATGAATGTGTGTGTTTGGTGGAGTGGGGAAGGGGCAGGATGCTGGGAGGAGACTAGGTTTAGAAATCTGATTTCAATGAGGAAAAGCAACTAACATTTAGATGTGAATTTTCTGTTCATCAGACTTGCCCCATTAACTCCATTTCATAAACAGCCAGTCAGTGAAATCCAGTGTTCCTTGTCATGATCAAGTGTCATAGCTGTGTGATTGTAACAGTTTAATGCTCTGTATTGTCTTGAAGTCTAAGAATGTGACATGAAAACTCTCCTTTCTGAAATGCTGCTTGTTCTTTACTAATGTCCTTTGAGCATGCTGACAAATGCCTATGTGATCTTTCTGTGGGACCTTTAAACTAATATCCTAGTCTTTTCAACTAGCTTCTGTTTAAGCAGAAATCATAGAACATAATTACAAATGTAATTGGATGAGCACTGATTCTGCTTTCCTCACTTCATCCTGTTGGCACTTTTTCAAAATTCTATTTCTATGCATTTTTTTAAAGTGCATTCTGAATATCTTAAATTTTACTATGCCAAACACAATGCCAGTGGTTTCAGGGAAATAGGAAGTAAAATATTTTGAATAAATGAAAAGAACCTCTTGACATAAAATATCAAGCCAGAGTGTGACTTTGGGTAATCATGAGCCTTTTTTTAGCATTTCCCGTTACATATAGCCATAGGTGTGACATCTGCTGGACACTGGGGGCTCCATCCACATACATCCACATATTACATCAGCACCACTCAGTACACAGAGTTCATTATATTTATTATTGGAAGCTCTGAAAGTTAAGTTGTTTTTTGGTGTGCTAGCAGTGAAAATTTCATTTAGGGCTGACTTTTTTTCATTTCTTCTTCAATTCCTCAAACTGGGGTTAGCAGTTAGCTATGAGAAGTAATGACAAGGACCTTTCATATTTCCCGTGTCCTTGTGATTGCAAATTAATGTTCAAGCACTCCACTCTTGCTTGAATAGCTTTAGTTTCAAATGTACCTCTTTTTTTTTTCTTTTTATGAAGACTTGTTACTATGGCTCTGAATTTTTGAATGTAGCTAAATTACATTGACTCTCTGAAAAGATCTGACTGAAAGACAACACAATGGAATTCTTAAGACAGGGGCTGTTGTGCTGCAGAGGAAGGCCAGTGTATCAATTGGGTACACAGCATTAAGGTTTTTGTTGTTGTTCTTTCTAGTCTGCTCAGAGATGAAGTGGTTTGGTAAGAAGTGACAGTTGTAGAGGATGCTATGTGTTCCACTTTGCAAACCCAGAGCTCTAATCCTAAAGTAAATTTCTTATCATTGTTCAAATGTACAATGGAAAATACATTTTGGCAGCTTTTTTGATACATGATCGGTAATCAATATTCTAGTTTGTTTGTTGTAAAGATTTTTTTTTCCAGGCAAGCTTTAACCTTAAAGGGTGTAATGTGGATTTCCTTGCTTTTTCTTTTTCTTTTTCTTTTTTTTTTTTTAATCCAGAGCAGCATTTACTTTAAATTAAGGGGAAAAGATTGGAAAATATGTCAGTCTCCTCCCTTTATGAAATGACATGCAAATTGCTCTGGTGTAATCCCACACCAGGAATAGAAGATAGGAAAAGTGGGGGAGGCCATGCTGCTACTTTTGAGGTCTGCAGTTCAATTTCAGGCATTATTGATTAGATTAAGATTTATAACTGCAGAGAGAGTGAAGGTTCTCAGAGGGGTGTTATTGTTCTATTGTTTAGCTTCTAGCGTGGCATTAGAAAAATGTTCAGCCTACTCAACCACGCTTCTAAATGTAAATTATGACACAGAAATCAAAGTTTAAAACTCCACACATTTTCTATCCGTTCAGAAATGTTTACAATGATAAAAATGTAGTGTTGTGCTGTTTGTGTAAGGCATCAGACTTACAGGACGTTTTGATTTTTATGATTCTCTTTGCTTTTCCTTCCTTCCTTTCTCCCTCCCTCCTTCCTTCCTTCCCTCCCTTCTTCCTCTTTCTTCTCCTTTCTTTTCTCCAATAATAAATACTTAAGTGCACCTATTAGTCCATTTAATAAGCATTTACTTTCAGATTCCTAGATAAGGTTCCAGCATACACCTGATAATACTTGTTTAAGAATCCATCATCCAGTGTTTGGAAATGATTAATAGCAGAGGATTCCTGTTTGTACTGGAGCCCATGAGCTAAATCTCTGTTGCTAAATGCAGGGTCATTCACAGGGTAACGCACAGTTCCCCTCCCAAGGTACTAGAATGTCAGACACTTCAAAATGGTACCTGTAGAGACAAGCTTCTTTTTCTAACCTCGTATTGGGTTTTATTCATATATCAGAGTTTCAGACCTACTGGCTTGGTTATTTACATTTGTTTTATGTTCAGCTGTCTGCTTGATTCATACTAATGTGATATGTTCCCTTTCTCTTCAGCTTAATAACTGGTTTATATTTTGTTTTGATTTTCAGTCCCGTCCTTTACCTTCACGCCAACAGGTATATATTTGCACTTACCCTCCTCCTATCCTTTGTTAGTTTGGCATGTGTTGTACTATTGTGTTTCTGGTTTTATCTCATTTTCAGCAGTAACTGGGGGGAAAGGACTTAAATGGAATACAATACTTCATTTACTCACGGCAGGCATGCATTTGAAGTAGAAATGGTTGGTGTTGCTTTTCATCCATCCAATGCATTTATTTATTCACCACTCCATGTTGCATCTTAGCCCTGTTTGCATGTATTTCCATTAAAAAGACACAGTGTTTCTAGCCTCAGCATGATTTAACATGCTAATCATCTTATTGATTATTTCATACTTGGCAATGCATTTTCCCCCCTTAACTTAAGCTTTTAGGTTTTCCAACAAAAATTTCTCTGCCTTGTAATTCTCTGTCCATAGAATCAGTATTCTGAAAGGTAGCCAAAATACCCAGCACATGTGAAAGATAAAACTTTTCATTTTCCCCAAGTCTGAGTCCTCATATTCTGTTCTATTCGGTTTCTTTCAAAGTGGATCCTCTTCTTTCACATCACCTCTAGTAAAAGATGTACCTGTAGTTATGCCGCCTCAGTTTTAATCCAGTTATTGGAATCACTGGGAGCAGTTATCTCTCCCAAGCAGACTCCCAGTTTGGAGTTTTTCTAAGTAGCAGAACTTGGCAGCTTTTAAAAATACATTTCTTCTTAGAAAATGTGTCTGTATTTACAGAAAAGCTAATCTTCTTAACCCTTTGCCTAACTATGTGCAAATCTTTTTGTGGTACAGTTCTATTTTTATGCCCCAAATTTATTAAGCTGAGAAAGCTTTCAAAAGCATTAAACCATATTTTATGAAAATATAGTTATTAAAATATAATGAGTATGAGTTTCAAAAAGCCACAATAAGAAAAAATAGGTAAAAAAAAATGGTCACATCAATAGTCACAACTTTACATCTTTGTCTTTGGAAGGGCTTAACATCTATTTTTTGTCTCACTGGTTCTCAATCTTCTGGGAAAATCTAGTAGGCTTTTGTAATATTTACCTACAAGGGCAAGACTTAAGATTATACCTACAGAATTATGAAGTGGTATGATCTAGTAAACTCAAAATAAAAATCTATGGGAATGCTAATGTACAAGTAAATATATAATAGTTACATTTAACAAGAATCTGCTGCAGTTTTACTGTTGCTTTTCTCAATCTTGTTAAGACTAAGAATGATGCATATTTAATTTAATAAGAATTTTAAATTATTAGCTGAATTAGAAACCTGCTGTGTCCTGTAAGGATTTTTACAATGTTACTGGGTAGGAAGGGAGAAAGAATCCCATTGTACAAAGATGCTCGTGAATGTAATAGCTTTTGGTATATAAACATGTCTATTAATTGTTCCTTTTTTTTTAACATTCTAGTAACTTATCAGAGAGGAGGCGAAGCTGTGAGCAGTGGAGGGAGGTAATTATCTTCCTTGTTTTGTAGATCCTTGGGGGAATTTAAAATATTTCTTCTTGTCTTCCTCACTGATGCAAGTTTCATTGCTCCAAAGGTTTAACAACTTAAAGATAAAAAGTGTTCCAGTCTTTTGGAAAGAATCCATTCATCTGTGGTGTTGAACCAAGTCATTTACACAGAAATACAGTTCCTGATGGAGCTGTTGCACTCTAGACAATGGCCACCAGAGGGAGTACGTTAACCAAGAAAAACAGATTGCTGATTTAGCAGATGATTAAAAGGAGTTAAAGTGATTAAGCTGTGGCATTTATGAAGATTAAGAAATATAGCTAGTTAACAGATACTATCAAAGAAAAAGTGCTCATTTGAAAACCTGCTGAACGCAGCAGTTGCTCAGAAGTTATAGGTTATGTTTGTTTGTTCTTGTTATGAATTCAGCTTAGTAGATACCTCCATTTGCAGGGAAATACATTCGAATAAAAAAAGAAATCTAGGTAGTTTGTTAACAAAGAACTTTTTCACCCTTTAACTAAAAATATCCTCAGTCCTATACTTATGATTTTTGAGGTAATTATTATTCAGTGAACTTTAATATATTCACAGAGAAATCACAAATTAATGTGATAGGCGGCTTAAAGGGGCTGAAACAGGATTTTCCACAATAAGGTGAATTTTCTTTTTTTTTTCAAAAACAGTAGCACCTAGACATAAAGGGGGAAAATATTCTAACCAAAACCAATTTATAATTTAAATTAAATTAGCTTATTAGAGTGCCCTTCTTCATATGGTTGGATAATCTGGTTAGCTACTGAGTAGTCAAAAAATGAGTAAGGTATTATTCCTGAATCCAAGGAATATACCTCCTAATAAGAAAATTACTAAATTTATGACAAAGAGTTATTTAAATATATATATATATATATATATATATATATATATATATATATATATATATAGACTGCCTTTAGCTGGTGCTGTACACATGTGGCAGTAAGCATTAATCTTTTCTTTCCTGGGTACTGCTAACTTCCTGCTTTCACAACTGTGAAACAAAGCCAGCCACCAAAAGACCCAAAAACTGGGGTGGTTTTCATGAGGAGTAAATCCACTTGATTGAGGGATTAAAGCAGAGCACATTTTTGCATCCAGGGGAATTCCATATAAGTCACAGTCCAGACATTCATGAAAGAGCTTCTGCCATAAGAACATTTTCCTGTGGGTAAATCTGGAATGCCTGATTGTTTAACTACCTCTCTCTGTGTCTATTCATGACTGTTGACTTCAGTTTTATTGGCACTAGCTCCTGTGCATGGGCATGTGTTCACATGCTTATACACACGTGCACACACATAAAATATTAACCTAGCTCCTTCTCTAAACAATTTACAACCCAGACAGACCAAATGGTCTCATGGAAGACAGTGGCAGGAATGCATAGGTGGGAAATGGTGGTTTCTAGGACAGGAATAAAGAATTGTAAAGTTCCTGAACTGTCTATTTAGAAAGCTCACTAACAAAGAATCATAGCATTTTCGACTGAAAAACAGAATCCTGGCAGTGAAATTGATATATCTCAAATACTAACTAGAAATTATCATTTTCCTAAATGAATTGATAAAAGATGCTGGAATGTCACAGAGGCAATAATACTTAAATAAAAATTTTAGAGTCAGTGCTCAACATGACAGTTATACCCACAATTTTAAATGTATTTATTCATTAACTATAATGGACACCGACTACAGGGCAGATACTGTGTTAGCTGCTTGGAATGCGTCAGTGAGCAAAGTGGATAAAATTCCTGATCTTGTGGGCATTTGATTATGGTGGGAGAGATGGAAGATGGATAATAAACATTTTTTAAAAGGTCAACTGTACCGTGTCAACAGTTGATAAGTACTGGGGTAAAAATCAAGTAGGATGAGAAAGAGAAGGTTCATTAAGAAGAGGCCTCTTTCCTAGCCATGATGAATCTGTGCGGGGGTGGGGAGGGGTTGCTAGGACCAAAATACCTAAAAGAACAACTTAAGGAGGAAAGTGTTTTGGCTCAGTCTCACAGGTCTCAAGCCCTGGTCCATTGACTTCATTTCTGCAGCTTTTTTTTTTTTTTTAATACATATTATGTGGTGCTGTGGATTGAACCTAGCACCTTGCACGTGCTAGGCAAGCACTCTACCACTGAACTACAACCCCAGTCCCCACTGACCTCATTTCTTTAGGCCCAAGCATCATGGTGTATGGCAGAGGAAAGCTGCTCAACTCTCAGCAGCTGGGAAGCAGAGAAGTGAGAGTTGAAGAAGGGCCAAGGACAAAATAAACTCTTCCAGAGCCTGCCCCTGGTGATTACTTCCTCTGACTAGGTCTCACTTCCCAGTAGTCTGCTAAGCTCTCAATGTATTAATCCATCAAGTGGATTAATCCACTGATCAAATGAACTCAGCCACTGATGAGGTCGGAGCCCTCACCATCCAATCATTGCCTAAAAGCCCAACCTCTGAACCTTGCTTCGTGGGGACCAATCTTCAACACAAGAGCTTTTGGAGGACATTCCAGATCCAAACCATAACACTGAGTCTTGTGATCACTGGAAAAGAGAATGAATAGCAAATTCAATATCTGCTGTGGCTTTCCTCACCTCCAACCCCTGTCTTGGTTTCCTTCATTCATCACAAACTTCCTGGGTCCTCCCTGGTCCTACCACCTCTCTTGGCTGATGACACCTAAGCTAAGATCTGTTGATTATCCTCTTTTGCCTCCTGCAACCATTACTGTGTTCTATGGATCCTATTTTTTACCCCTCCACTATCACTGATATTCTTTCTTTTTAAGCACTTATTCTCCCTTGCCAAAACTAGGAGCTCCCAGCTGTCCTAAGTTCATCCAGTTTTATTAGCACTGTTGTCTACTAATTCTCTTTCCAGTGGAGGCAGAATAATCTTTGAAATCCATGCTAATTGTGTAAGTTCCTGAGCTGCTGAAAAATCCCACCTGCAGCAGAACTTGCCATGTTTAAAATATCAAGTCCAAACTTGGCATAGCATGTGAAGTCCACAAAGTCTTGGATTTTGCAGCCTCGTTTTTCACTTCTATGTGCTGTGCCCTGTGATCCCTTGTGTCAGGTTATCTCCAGTATGTCAGTGTCCTGTATCCTTGCTACATGGACATTGCTAATACACAGGCTAACAATGTCTTCCCACCCATTATCCCTAGTTAGTGTATCAGATTTTACCTGCTGTACCCTCCACAAAATCTGTACTGTGCAACTATCACATTGTCTCCTACCCAGGAGGAGACAATGCATTCGCTTTTCTTTGTATCAAGAGTCACCAAATTATAGCTTTTGCACCGAGTCCACCCTGCCATCTGTTTTTGTAAATAAAGTTTTATAAGAATACAGACAGGCTCTCATTTGTTTGAGCTATAAAAGAAAAGTCAAGCGGTTACAACAGAAATTAAATGACCTGCAAAGATTTCAGTGGTTTCTATTTGGTCCTTTTACAGAGAGAGTTTGCCAACCTTGGTAGATAGAATTGCCTCTGACAAGAGAATATGAGATCCTGGATTATAGAAAATATGTGGTTTATTTATCAATAAGTTAATTTTTTGTAATGTAATAAATGTAGTTCAGTGAAGGACATCCGTAAATTCAAAAACTGTATGAACTTTCAGTCATTTAAAAGTTACCTAAGAAAAGAACAAATGCGTTATTTAATAAGTGAATGTCAGAAGACCTCAATTCAGTTCTTGATGACTTTAAGGAAATTATTTGGTGCTGGATTGTGTCCTCTAATAAATGAGGAGGTTGTCTGGAACTCTCTCCTAGTTCTCCAAACTGTCATTTAGTTATTCTCAGAAAAGAGAGAAAAACATAACAGTAAGCCAAGAGAACTCTGGGCTCAACTTGAAAATGGCAAATGACCTTTGAGGTAATGCAGGAGAGAAACAGAGAAATATTAAGGAGCTGTCTTTATTAATTTCTTTTCTTTCCCTGGAAAATTCCAGTTGCCTCTTCCAAAACCTCTGCTTAAAATTCAAACCACATTCAACCAGGAAAAATTAGAGAAAACTCCAAAAAGAGCAGTGAACAAGTGAAGATAACCTGGTGGAAAAGCCAGTACCACATTCCCTGTCAGTAAGAGGGAGGAAAGAAATGGAGCATCAGGTGAAGGTGCTCTTTAAACATTGGCCACTCATTTAGCCTGGCAGGGGGTCGACATGACCCACAGCTGACAATACTTTCCGTAAGGCCCCTCTGCCATATCCCCAGCTCTGGAACCCCATAGTCTTGTATTTTGTGGTTTAACAGTTTAAACGGGTTCTCTCAGAGTGAGTGATTGGAAGGTTTCAAGTAGCAGAGTAGGAATTAAAGGCAGTTGCCTCATAATTATTAGTGCACCTTTGCCCTCTTTTCCTTCATGGCGCAGGTCTATCCCCTTAATATGTGACATGATATAATGATGTGTTAGACACACATTAACCACCGTAACCCACACGTGTTTTGCTTTTGCTTCATATTTGGCTGTAGTTTGATTGTCTGATGCATGCTGATGAGTTTTAAGGGATACAAAGAGCCTGTGAAGCTGTTACTTTGAAAGACTTCTCAAGCTCTTGTCAGAATAGCTGCCAATGACCTCACCTTCCTCCAAGACCTTGGACACACACACACACACATACACACACACACACAGCATTTTAAGATTCATCATGGGACAGTGAACATGGCTTACCTTTTTCCTTAAATAGTTAGCATTCCAAACTCAAGTCTAAACAGAAAGCAGGATGTGAGTTGTTAATCCTACTTCCTGTTGGAAATCACCCATCTATATGAAAAGTTCTCTAAGCCAGTGATGCTATCAAAGCATTCACTGGAAAAATATTAACACTCCCCCCAACCACACACACACACACACAAAGGGAGTCATAGTAGCATGAAAATATTGTCTCTTTCTATTAAAACATATAAGTTGAGCTGTGGAGAATTTCTACTTGACCTCTGCTGCAGACATAGCATCATCTCTGCAGTGTCAAAAATGGGAGTTTTATTTTGAATAACTTTGACAGTGATGCATTTATGGTTTAAGTTCAAGGAGAAATAAAGAAAGCTAAAGATTACTAGATGCAGAAGTTCTATAACAAACATGTATTTCACAGACACTAGATATCTGTGGTATGGCTTGCATTTAAATGCATGAAATTTTAAGTCCGGCGACATTTCTCTCCAAAGCAAATTATTTATTTATCTGTTACTGGGGATTGAATCCATGGATGTTTTACCACTGAACTACAACCCCAGATCTTTTTTATTTTATTTTGCTGAGGCTGGCCTCAGAATTGCCATCCTCCTTCCTTAGCCTCCTGAGTGACTGGGATTACAGGCATGTACTACCGCACCAGACTTGAAAGCATATTTTTATCAACAATTGTAATAGGTAGTTCAATTTTAGCAGCTTTGTCCTGAATTGGGGGCCTTTGGATATTTTCTTCACTCTCCATTAAGAATGTTTAAGAGCTTCAGGGAATTTCCTCAGGCTCCAATGTGTGTTGATAGCACCCTAGTTCATGGTGTGAACTCCAGGGCCACAGCTTGTGCTGGAATCCCAGGTAGTCACTCACTCACTCCATATAGCTGTGCCCATGTGCCTTGACTTCTCCCAAGTGTCCCATTTCCTCATCTGTAAAACTTGGGTATTAGCAATCCCCGCCTGTAAAATGGCTGTGATGGTTCAATAAATGAATATATGTAAAGAATTCAAAGTGCCTCTCACACTGTAAACAAAGAGGAAACATACATCCTTAATTGTATAAATATGCACATATATGGATACAGATATATGGATTGCAAATCCATATTCTTCATTTTAAGTGACTTACAAATAACCATCACTTGCAAAATATGTTTCTCTGTGGCAAAATAGGAACCATTTAGAGGGCAATGTCAGTTTCTTGCTTCCCAAGTAAATGAGAAGGCTGGTTATTGCATTTTAACAAAGAAAATGAAACCACAAAGAAAATCTTTGCATAGTCTGTAGCGCCAGACTGTTTATTGAGGATTGGACAGCACATCATACATCATCGCCTCTTTTGCTGAGTTATCACACGGAGTCGATGTTGAAAAAGGACATGAAGAATGCTGCTCTTGGACTCCAGTTTGAGTCCCTGGCACTGGTGGTCCAGGGCTCCCATTAATAACTCCCGATGCACTTGGCCTCTCCAGCACTTGGTGAAAGAGGATTAACATCTGTTGTGCCAAAAAAAAAAAAAAAAACATGAGTGCTAATATTTCTTTTAGTCGACATCTTTGTTTTACCAGATTTCATTCAGTAGCTTTCCTTTGTTTATTTAGGAACTCACAGCATTTTACATTGTCACCATCAGAAAATGTTGACAAGCTCACAGAACTGTTCACTGAAACATCATTGTAGCTCTGTGCAAAATGTCACGCCAGTCTGCTCTCACTATTTCTTAAACATGGGTTGGAAGCAAAATCTGTAAATCTGCCTAATGTGAAGGGTTCATTGTCTCAATAAAAGAATTTGTTGCATTCTTTAATGAAGTTGTGAGAAGAGTTGCAATTTTTTAATTTTTTTAATTTAAAAATGAATAAATGCAAATGGATTTAGCTAGAATATTTTTTAGTTACTAAAAGTCTTTATGTATCCGTGTTTTCAGATTCCACGTTTGATTTTTCAATCACCATGACTAAAGGCAGAATAGAACATTGTAAACAGTAAAAGATTTTAAGTCTGAAGTACAGCAGTACCAGTTCACAGATGTATGGCTCTGTGCACTGAGACACATCTGGAACTATATATTATAGTTGCCTCTCTGTAAATAAAAGGAATAATATCATTCAACATAATGCACCAAATTATTGTAAGAACAATTAAACGAAATATTTGCTGGAATTCTGAATAGAAAATATTATTTTCTGTCCATATAACATTTACTCTTTTTTCTCTCTAGGCCAGGACTTCTCAATATCAGTGAACCTGCTGCACAGCCGTGGCTGGCAGACACGTGGCCTAATACTGGCAACAGCCACAATGACTGCTCCATCAACTGCTGCACCGCAGGCAATGGGAACAGCGACAGCAACCTGACCACCTACAGCCGCCCAGGTTAGGGACACGGAGAGGGAGATAAGCACTGGCCTTGAGCGAGTTAGCCAGAAGCAGCTGACTTTCCTTTCCCTCTGCCCACCTGGGGAAGGGAACTTTGATCCACATTTTCATGAAATGTCCAACACTGTGTAGCAAGCTAGCATGATTCAAATATTTTCTCCATTTCTAAACTTTTATATTTCACCCTCCACCAAGAAGATTTCCTCAGAGAATGAAGAATACAAGCTCTAGCATAGATTGCAAGTAAAAAAAACAAAGTCATGCACAATCATTTATGTTTTATAAGAATGTGTACAATGATAAGTTTAGTTGCAGTAATTTATTATATTCATGATTTTAGGAATAAATAACAAAGACCAAAAGGTCAATAAATCCATAGTTTGAGTGGACCTAATTCTAACAGTAAGAGTTATAATTTTTGAACAAGAATAATAACAAAAAAATTAAATGAACATTTAAATCAGATATTATAGTATAATGTAAATCCTGAAGAAATAAGAAATACACACATCCATATATATTTCAGGTGTGTAGGTGTACATTTATAGTCTGTTCTATACTTTGGTTCTGAAATATGTGTGAGTAAATTACTTTGCTAAAATTTCATGCTAAAACATCACAGTAAGACAAGTAGATATGGAGCATTGCAAGATCTAAAGGCAGAAAAAAATACAGATAATTTCTTATGAAACAAAAAGTCCCATTATTAATAAGATAGGAAACATTTAAATAGTTGTAAAGAATCAAATGAGATGCCTATGAAAATAAAATAATGCATGGAATTAAGGAAATGAGAATGAGAAGATGGCATGTAAGTAAAGATGTAATAAATTATAAAGAACAAATCATAGAACTATCTATATGTCTACCCTAAAAACAATCCTGTGTCTCCATTATTAGATGTGGACATGATCATCCACACAACGAGTGTGTGTCCTCCAGAGGCCCAAGTTCTGCTGTCTATATAGATAGTCATGTATCATACACAAAAGACTATGCCGAGGGACACCTACTGGAATTAATATGTTGCATTGTCCAGTATGATAGTTACTGGCAACAGATGGCTGCTTAAATTCAAATCAGCTAAATAAAATACAGTTTGAAATTCAGCTCCTTATTCTCACTACCCACATTTCAAGTTCTCCATAGCTGTTATGTGGCCAGTAGCTGCTATATTGGACACTGGAGTCTTAGGACAAGTCCAACACTTTTAGAAAACCTTTTGGATAACACTCATATAGAAATATTGGCAAAGCAAAATGAATATATTGCCTTTAGATTATTTTTTAACCGTCATTAAACAAAATAATTCCTAGAAATTAGATATGAGAATTACTGTAATCCAGATGTACCAAATATCTCTGTTGCTTGATCATGTATGATTGAGTTAAGTAGTTAAATTTAGCAACATAGAGAAGCTGAAAAGTTTTCTTAAGATTATATTCATATTTACATCTTTAGTAGCAAGTATGTTAATTTTCATTTATTAAGTTATCCAGTTGAAACCAATTCTTAAAGAGACCTGTTAGTGATAGTGCTACTTTTAATCTGAATAGAATAATGATGTTTTCCATGGTACCTTTTTTTATTTTAAAAATGTTTATCTTTACAATATGACTTTAATTATTCCTGCTGTTTTAATATTTTCAATCATAGGCCTTAAATACATCTCTCTCTCTCTCTCTGTGTGTGTGTGCGCGCGCATGTGTGCGTGTGTGTGTGATCAGTTATTTAATTTCTAAAAATTTCAATGAAGGGAAGATCAGAGTGGAATGAGATATTAGACATACTAGATATTATTTCAGGCATTATTTGATTAAGTGACCTGGTTAGTGTGGTTCATTTTGTCATCATTATTGTCATTTTATACTTGGGATGTCATTACGAAACCATGAAAAAATGATTATGTAGCATCTCTCTTCAATAATGATTACCCTATATGACCAAGATAGGAACTAATAAAATTCTCCTAAGCACTATTGACTATCACCTTATCCCTGCTCTTCTTATCTTTTGAGGATAAAAATATTAGAATCTCAAGTGCTTTGACCGTGGATACATTTTCCTCTTTGGATTCTTATGTGCTTTGTTCTGTAGCTTCAAATAGTTCATTAGCCCAAGACTAGAAAATTTAAAGTTGACACTTAAAGATTCACGTATGTATTGTTTTAGTGGAATTCCTGTTGAAAGGGTTGTTAAAGGAAATTCCTATTTTAAAGTAGATGAATTATTTTGCATACAGCACTGGCATAAGTTCACAATTATGTCCTCTCTACACGAATTCTCTGGATGCTCTTATTCCCTCAAGTTTGGTTTCCTTTAGAAAGTCCATATGAGTATGGGGCCCTTTCTATTGATCTAATTTAAGCCCATTGGTACTTTACATCCCAATTTTACTGTGACTCACAAAGCTTCTTAGAAAGAAATTGAAAACGAATAACCATGCAGAATGACTTTTTCCTTTTCCTCTCCATTGCACATAGCTGATTGTATAGCAAATTATAACAACCAACTGGATAACAAACAAACAAATCTGATGCTCCCTGAGTCAACTGTTTATGGTGATGTGGATCTTAGTAACAAAATCAATGAGATGAAAACCTTCAATAGCCCAAATCTGAAGGACGGGCGTTTTGTCAATCCATCAGGGCAGCCCACTCCTTATGCCACCACCCAGCTCATCCAGTCCAACCTCACCAATAACATGAACAATGGCAGCGGGGACTCCAGCGAGAAGCACTGGAAACCACCCGGTCAGCAGAAACAAGAAGTGGCACCAATTCAGTATAACATCATGGAGCAAAACAAACTGAACAAAGGTGAACAGCTCTGCCCTTATTCCTTCTCTTTCCCATATTGACACTCTTAGCCCCTCGGCACTAGATGTCAACAACTGTGACTCGCAAGTCACCTCTTTCCTTTGGTTATTGTGATTTTCTTCTTTCTTTGGTTTCAGAATTTCCAGTGTCAAAGAGTTAATTAGCACCACAATAAGCTTGGAAAATTGATTTTATAATAATATATAAGTATTTTCAAATGGTTTTGAGATTAATTTAAATTTAATAGTAGGTGAGGGATTGCTGAGGACATACAATCTTTTATTCATAAGGCAGATGTACAACTGTCACAATACCTCGAATTTTCAATAAATAGACTATTCCACTCTTTCCACTTGAGGATGGAAGATAATTGCTTCTACGTGGTCCTATGAACGAAGGGCCTTTTTATATCAAACTGAAGAAAAATAATTAAATTAAACTTGAACTGGAGAATTGGTTCAATTTGTTGTATTTCTCAGACCTTGTGTGGTTCCTGAGATTGCTACGATGTATATAATTTTAGAACCTCAATTTCTTGGGTTGACCTGATTGAAGTCTGCCAGTATAGAACCAAAATAAATGGAGTTTAGTATTAACTTGAAGCTGCAGAATAGTATTTTATGGCCTGAGGGGAATATCTGTGTATTGTAATGTTGTAATGCATGTGGGTTGAAAGAGATAGGTGTTTGATTTCTTTGTAGTTCATCAGGCTACTGCTTTAATAACATGATTTGCAAAGTTATATACCTCTAGCTATAACTAGATTGCTCTAATTTGAATAGATGGGGCAATGTTGTGCAAGTATCCTGGTCAAGAATGCATTTTATGGTACATAATTAGAGGTATGGATTTATTTTCTTAGGCTTGAGTTGAGAGCATTTTCTTCAAAAATAAAACTTTGTGAAGCTGGAGAGTATAACAAGATAATTTAAACATTTCATTAAGTTCATGTCATGTTTTAATTTGATAATAAAGTCATCTAGCTTTTTCCCAAGTTTGAGAAGGTACTTAACTAGTATAATAATCCAATTTAATAAATATTTATTAAGATTCCTGTGTACATTGATGACAAAGACTGACAAAATTGAGAGCAGATTCTGCAGCTATGGAGTTTACTGTGGGGATTCAAACCATTACATTATTTTTCCATAGTGTGTGGTTTTACTCTGGACCTCAGAAAGCTCTGACAGTCCTCTGTACAAACATTTCAGAACTCTGATTTATTGTTTGTACTGCTTGTAAGCAGATTTGGTATGTCAGAGTGTAATAAAGACCCCGGAATGCAGCTAGGCTGACAGATTATTACTGACTACATTCCAGTAGCAAGCTTATCATCTGGATTTTCACCTTTGCCTAAATAAGGAGAAGCATTTCTGGGGCAGATTAGATATTTTATTTTCTTATCAGGGATACATTTTTATGAGATATCATCTAGCTGACAAGTTTCCGTTTTATTTTTATTTTATTGCAATTTATGTTTTATGAGTTGCAGACGTGGCATTTTATGATTTATTCTTGTTAGAATTATTTTGTTACTATATATACATGTATGTACATATTTTGGGGGGAGGGTACTATTGACTGAGGGCACTGGGTCTCATACATACTAAGTATGTGCTTTACCACTTAGCTATACCCCCAGTTTCTATTCCTATATTTTAAAATAGACATCCATTTTGAGTATAAGTCTTTTTATAGCCTGACAATTTGAATCTAAAAATAAATGAGAAAAACAGACAATTGGTTTCTTAATGTATTCAGAAATATATACAAAATAAAGAGATGTGAAATAACTCACAAAGAAAACATAAATGAACATTTTTTTTCTATCTGAAATATCTAGATTATCGAGCAAATGACACAGTTCCTCCAACAATTCCATACAATCAATCATATGACCAGAATACGGGAGGATCCTACAACAGTTCGGATCGGGGCAGTAGTACATCTGGTAAGGGGATCCCAGGAAACATCAACCTCTCTGTTTAAAAGATGGTACAGCCCCAGATGGACTGAAGTATTAAATCACTTTATATCATTTGAATCTAATCTTTCTTTATATCAGGCTTGGGTTTTTGTTTTTTATATCAGACATGGGTCTTATTTTTTCAGTTTAAGGGACTGTATTCTCAGTAAACCATTTTATTTTCCATTAGGTATCAAATACTAAGCTCCCTGTTTTCTTCCTTTATCAGTAAATCAAAAATATGAACTAAAATTTAAAGGCAGCTACCACTAAACTTTAAAGGCAGCTGAAACTTTTTTCTCCCTTTTCCAAAATATAACGTAAGAAATGTTGTACATATCTGTAATCAGATAAATCTGTTACCATTTGAAACAATGCTATTAAAGCAAGTAACATTTAAGTACACTTCAGCACTATAAAAACCTGAGAGACAATAACCTGAGATCCAGCTACGGTCTCAGTTTATACTTTCTCTATGATCCCTCAGTTCTTGTTCAGGAGCCTCATAAAGCAACCTCCCAGCCTCAATTTGTCCATGCCTCAAAAACCACAGAGACTCCTCCCTGTGGTCTTCATGCTGGGGCAGCTGTTTGCCAGCTGTTTTCCTGATAGGGGTTGCAGATGGGAGCTTGATGGTACTTAAGTCCTGTTTTTCTAATTAAAGGTGGTTCATTATTAGAACTAACATGTGGCAAGTCACACCACAATGAGAACAAACTAATTGATCTTGAATGGAGCATGTATCTGCAGGAGAGGGTAGAAATGGCACCTCCCAGCAACTGGATCAAAGTCATTGCTAGGTTCTTTTAGCCAAGTGTCTCTACCTCCTTCTGTAAAAAAACATCACATTCACAGTTTGCTGTCTTCTTTTAGCTAAAGTATGCTGGTTTAACATTTTCTAACCTGTGTTGAAATTTTTCCTATTAAAAGGAGCTTAGAAATGGCCCTTTTTCTTTGTAGATTTTCTCAGATTCTACTGTCCATTAATTTGTATTAACAGTGAAAATATTATTAATTTTTTTTCTTTTTTTAATTAAGTAAACTGACTTAAAAATGTCAAAGATCTACTTTTGGGAAAAACATAAAATATTTAAATATTAGATTGTTGATGTCATTTCATCTTTATATTTTTACTTATAGAGAAAATCATATTTTAATAGGGGAAAACCCCCATGATTCTAGGTTATTAATTTTCGATTGACCTTCTCCATCTCTTAGCTTAGACACTGAGACCATGAGGCCATGCTGCTATTCATCACCTGTTATTCTGTGGATATTTGGTAAAACGATTATAAAGGAGTGAGGTCTGGTGAAGGCAGGGAGCAAGCAAAGGAAGTACATGAAGTGCAGGAAAGGTCTGTGTGGGTCAAGCCACTCGGTCAGGTGGAGTTGCTACCATGCATGTGTCTCAGGAAATCCAGAGGAAGACACTGGCCTATGTCAACTCTGTCACGCATGCACAGTCACCCCAGTACATAACAACCGAGTGACAGACAGAGAACAGAGACACCCAGGCTCAGGGATGGAGTCACAGTTTATTAGTAACAGCCTGTTCCTCAGCCCACACTTGGTGTTGTAACATATCAAGACAAGAGCATCTGGCATAACAAACACTGCCGTTAGAAAATTCCCAAGTGACTCAAAAAAAAAAAAAGTCCCATTGCCACTGAGTAAGCTATGACCTGTGTCATTTGCAGGGTGACATGTAGCTGTTTAAGTTAGGATTAAAAAAAAAAAAGATCAAGATAATTCACTGATATTAAAGGATAACATGAGAAAAATCAATTATAATTCAATTGTAATTAACAATTATTGTCTATAATATAAATATGATTCTAAAATATATTCAGGGGGAGAACTTTATCCCCAGATACCTTTTGACCTGAGGTTTTAAAAAGGGAACATATGCATCTATGGTGTGCAAAGAATACACCAAATCTAAAATTGGAAAACTGTAGTTCTTGAAGAATTGGGTTATTTCAAACTATTAAGAACATTCAGCAACATTATTTTACTATAAGCCACAATTTTATAGAAACAGCAGCTGAGAAGATGTCTGTCCCTTTCTAAGAGCATTTTTTGGCTTCTTTTGTCATTAGTTATATTAGTTCTTCCAGCATTTATTCTCATCTGTATCTGCCTTTCTGAAGAAAACTAATAATTTCATTGTGCCCAAAACATTTCAATGGACAAGTACAAATTATATATATTCAGTGATTTAATGCAACAGTGGAACTCTAATAGATCGTATCTGTATCATATTGTATTTTAGGTTTCAGCAATTAAATAATAGAAAGGCACTCCAGAAAATATGTCTACAGCTCATTTGTTTTAGATGATAATCCATAATGCAATTAATTACTGTAGGAAGATCACTATTAATGATATGACTTGTAAAATTCATTTATGGTTTTATTGCTTTTTTGCTATGTGTTCTACAGTTAAACTTGGAATTCTTTGCTTCTTCTCTTCTATAAAATTCTGTTTAAAATTAATGAAGAAAAGTGTGTTTATCTCTATATACCTGAATAAATTATAAGATCATATTCACAGAAAATAATTAATCATGGATAATAGGAAAAAAAATTAAAGGCCAGGAATAAAAGACTTGTACTTCATTTCTTCTCTAGGAAGTCAAGGGCACAAGAAAGGGGCACGGACACCCAAGGTTCCCAAACAGGGTGGCATGAACTGGGCAGACCTGCTTCCTCCTCCCCCGGCACATCCTCCTCCCCATGGCAACAGTGAAGAGTACAGTATTTCTGTAGATGAAAGGTAGGCGGAACATCACCTGTGAATGGTATAATACATTTGCTTATACCCACCCAAGTAGTTGTTACACTATACTGCCAAGAAGAGACTGACTCCTGAAGTTCACAGTGTTATCTCTAAATAACACAATGCTGATCAGTAGCACTTTAAAACCCTCCTCAGGGATGCCCATAAAAGAATTAGTGCTCTAGAAACTTCTTTAGGAACTGGGAATTACACACACACACACACACACACACAGGAAATCTTGAGATTGTATGTATAGAATTTCACGTATGATTTTGTGATTTTCAAAATAGTCATGCACTGCATAAGGTCAATTCAGTCAATGTCAGACCACATATATGATGCTCTTCCCATGATATTAAAATGGAGCTGAAAAATTCCCATTGTCTTTTATTTTTACTGTATCTTTTCCATACTTAGATGTGCCTAAATGACTACTTCCCCTGGTGTTACAGATGCCTTCAGTATTAAGTATGATGATATACTGGTTCAGAGCCTAGGAGCAATAGGCTATATTATTTAGCCCGGTTTGTGTTCAATGCCATGGAAGTTTGTCTAAATCTACTCTGAAGTTCAGACAGTCATGAAATCCCCAAACAAGGTGTTTCCTAGAACGTGTTCCTGTAGTTAAGTGATACATGACTGTGTTGGAATTTCTTTGACACATTGTTAAGTTTTCATAAAATAATTATGTGGATTTACATACCACAATTTCTGGAGACTACTTTTTTCTTAGCTATTATCACATTATGCTGAAAATTACTTGTAGAGGTTTAAACTTCCCTGAATTATTTCTCAGAAGGATTTAACAAGAACAAATAGTCCACATGAAAAAATGAAAAGTTAGAATGCTTCCTCTCATTCCAGAATCTTTATAATTGGATATGATAGCTCAAACAAAACAAAACAGCTGCTTTAGTAGTGAGATTAAAAGCAGAGAATTCTCTTGACTTAGAGAATTAACTACAAAAAAAAAAATGAAATCTACGTGGAAATAGTCTTTTCAATGACTTTATAGAAATAAAGGCTTTGTTTTTTAATTCTTATAAAAAAGTGTTTTGCAGTCCCAGCTGTGCGCAGAAAACAAAACTTCTGTGCTTCTCTTTTTTAATCATTTTTAAATAACATATATTTTTAAGTAAAATTTTTTTACAAAAATGTTAACAGGCGATTCCCATTATCCATAGTAGTTATGTTTTATAAAGTTACTGTGAACACTGAATTAGTGAATATGGAACCATTTGTCTCTAGGGGAAATAGAGGGTTAGATTCTTTGAGCCTCAGGTCACAACATTTTTGTTGATCTGAGGCCTTTTTTTAATGTGTGTTTTGTTTAAAGCACCTTTATTTAATATATATTTTTCATTAATATAGTGTCATTTCTGAGAAAACGCATCTGTTACAGATGCATTTTCTCTGTTAGGCACATCACAACCCTCTTAAGTTAGGAGTGCCAAGCTGCATGTTAACATTTCCTCTGGGTGCCATTTTTAACAGGGAAATCACTGATATTAAGCAAGAAAATTTCAAGCAATGTGGCCCTAAATCAACTGTTCAAAGGATGTGAGAGCTGACAAAAGAAAGTATTTGTTGTCTTGTTTTGCTTCTGCTGGGGACATGCATGTCAGGTGGTTCAAATTTTTGGCGTCTTTTTGTATGTGTGAAGATGACCACAAAAACATCACTAGTATTGATATGGGGGTTTCAAATTCCCTGAATCAGTGAATTTGCGAATATAGAATCTGCAAATAGTGAAGATAAGTTTGGTCATAATAGTTTGTTTTCCAGGCTATTTTAATAGAATATTTTCTTCTATTTTAGTTGACTAAAAAGGGTTAAAATAAAATATGCTATTGTAGATTTAAAAAAAACCAAAACACTACAGGATATACAACTACTCCCCAAAGAGAAAGATTTGTTTTACCTGCGAAGAATGAATCTAATCTGCTGATAGGTGTTTTTCACCTTGAAAATGATAAATCAATTAAGAGCAGGGATTTTTATGGATCCTGGGACCATGCAGAGATATGGACTTTTGCAGAACTAACATGGCAGGGTGTGGGAAAACTGGGAAGGCAAACGTAAGCCAGATTATGCCGATACTCAAATGCCTTGCTGCAGCATTTTTATTTTATTCTCTAAGCAATTAGAGAGCCATTTATTACTTGGAGCAAATGAATGACCTGACAGTGACTTGTATTATAGTAAAGCAATTTTGGAACAATGTGACCATGGTGAAGCAAGGAGTGACTGGCGGCAAAGAGATCAATTAAAAGATTATTGCAGTAGGACATGCAACAGATGAAAACAAGGGAACAGATTGTAGGAGAGTCCTTATAGGTAGAACAGAGATGAATTTTGGGACAGGTTAATGAAGAGGAGAAAGGAATAATTCTCTTCAAGATTACTAATTTGGATGGGTGAGCAAATTGCTTGGCTACTTGATAACAAAGGAAACATAAGAAGGAGTTACAAAAATTGAGGTAGGAGGATTAGGGAAGTAAAAAAAAAAAAACGATAAAAAGCAACCACATTATTTAAGCATCAGTTTTCCTAAGGTAAAGTAAACAAGGTGGGGTGGTAGAGAACGAATAAGAGAGAGCAGTAATCAAACAGTTTATATAATGCAGTACATCTTTGTCATTCTAATCATTAAACATATTCCTGGGATAAGATAAAATAGAAAAGTGTAAGTACTCTCCAGATTTATCTTGTCTCCTACCCAGATCTAGCCCAGGAGCAGAAGAGCATTTAATTATTTAGGGGTGTTGTATTTTTCACTTACCATCCTAAATGCAAACCAACCAGTTCATTTTGTGCCCAACTGAAGAAATAATGATCTATTTACATTTTCAAAAGAGAGTCCTATTGAACTATGTAAGTTGTTTCCAGTATCTCTCCCTTTGAAAGCATTTAGAAAGTCCTTTGCTCAGGGTCTAGAACTTCATCATCAGACTATCTGCAATGCCGTCTTTGAATCTTCTTGAGCATATGTTGCACTGGAGGAATAGAACATACTAAGTACATTTGATATATACTAAGTTAAACTATGTTAAGTGGATTTCTTTATTGTTTCTTTATGATTTCTCAGCCTGAATAATATGCTGATAATAAGTTACAATCTTGCAGAGAAAAATAGTATATGTTAATACTTCAAAAACCTTTATGATAGCAGACTTTTTAAAACAATGAATCCTTACTATGATTTAGAAGAATTAGCAGGGCAGTGACGTATTGCATTTTATAAGTTGTAATTTCATTACATCTCTCTTGTTTATTCTCTACCACCTAAATTGATTACATTAGCTCGGGAAAGTCGATGTTCAAATCGTGTGGTTGCTTTGTATCTTCTTTTGCTTTCCTAATCCCACTGTCTCACTCTGTGTAACTCTTTTCCTCTGTTTTCTTTGTGATCAAGTAGCCTAGCAGTTTGCTCATTCATCCAAACTAGGAGTCTTGTACAAAATTTTTCCTTTTCCTCTTCTTCATTAAGCTCTTCCACAATTCATTTCTCTCTTCATATTTGAAAACAAGTCAAAGCTGACATTCCACTTACTATAGCAATAGTTTATTGGGAGAAACTGAAGTAAGTCAGCATGTTCTCATAGTAACACATAACATGTTGTTTCAGCTATGATCAAGAAATGTCATGTCCTGTACCACCAGCACGGATGTATTTGCAGCAGGATGAATTAGAAGAGGAGGAAGATGAAAGAGGCCCCACACCTCCTGTGCGGGGAGCAGCTTCTTCTCCAGCTGCCGTGTCCTATAGCCATCAGTCAACTGCCACTCTGACCCCGTCCCCACAGGAAGAACTCCAGCCCATGTTGCAGGATTGCCCAGAGGAGATTGGCCATATGCAGCACCCACCTGACAGGCGGTATGTGGTTTAGAAATAAATTTTAGCAGAATCAGATCATTTCCACTACTTACTGAGTGCTGTCCCATGAAGTAGTTTTCAAATCACATGAGCATTTTCTTGGAGTATTTTCCCACAGTAAAGCCTGATAAAGGACATATCAGTAATACTGTTGACAATGACATTAGATTAATAGATCCCAGGGCACTTGCAACCATAAAATAATGGGCATTGATACTCACCCACTTACGATAATTACATTCATGTACATGTGGCCTGCTAGTCTCATGACATGTTATTGCTGGTGGGTGTTTTTTGTACTTTAACTTTCCTTGTGCATGAGCAAACCACTTCTTTCTTTAGAAAAACAAATTTTTCTCTTATCTTCTAAAATTGAGTTCCACATAATGATTTGTTCTTTCATAGCTGTAATGTCATAGTAGAATGAATGAGTTTGGTGTGTTCATTTTATGTTGACCTCAGATACCTTTACTTTGATATAGGTTGGGATTATTTTATCCAGGTTACTACACAAAATGTGTGAGTGGGTGTGGGTGTGGGTGTGTGTGTTTAGACTTTTTACCCTAGTGAACATCATCATCCAATACATATTTTTGTTATCTGTGACTTCAGTTGTCATTTCTACCACATAAAAGCTATGACTGTATCATGTTAGCTCATCTTTCATTGTTGATGATATTGTTTGTACTATTTTATTGCCCTTGACACATTATAATATGTGTCTATTGCTTTCCATATTCTTAATATCATTTGAAATCGAGTATATCATTTGCCTCAGAAGATTTTCCCTCAATATTCTTGAATGAATAACAAATCCCGGTTTGTGCTGTTTGAATTTTATTCTGCAGATTAAGATAGAATTTGCAGTGTTTGCTAACAATTCTGTCATTAAGAAGTTATTACCAAATTCAAATCCTATACTTCTTAAACAGAAGGAAGTAGTTAAACCTTTCCCTGTGTGACAAGGGGAAACTTGGATTGCCATATATTTAAATAGTATTAACCTTTGAACTTCATGAAGATTGAGAGCAAATAAGTTGTCTTTCTTTCCTATTAGCATCACAAGCCATCTCAGCTACTCTTATTAGAAGCAAATGAGAGACGAACAGAGACCATTAAGCTTCTTTGGTTCTCTCAAGTAGCCTATTTCCTTCCACTCTCCTCTGTGTGGCCTCTGGGACTCCAGATCTTCCTCCTGACTAACCTTTTTTTTTTTTTTTTAATTATTCCTTTTGTAATCCTTTTTACCTTCCTTGTAAACAAAAAACAAATATGAGTTTCCTGTCATCTGTCTGGACATTACAGCCATAGGCTCTCCCTTCAATCCTCCCTTCTTTCTCTATTAACTATGTGGCTTGTAAACTTTCCTTAGCCTTCTCCCCCAGTTACAGACTCGCCTACTGCTGACTGTGGTTCAGCCACCTCCACCTTCCCAGTTCCTGGCTACAATTCTGCCCACTGTGTCCTAGCTTATACACTTTTTGTTTCCATCTGTCTGCTGAAAGTAACTTCCTAATGCTAAAATCTAAAGACTTCTTTGTCCTTATTATTCTTGAGCTCTCTGCAATGATGGCAGTTTTATAAATTGTTATGAGAATTGAATGAGATAATGTATGTTAAGTACCTGCAGAGGGGTAAGTTTTCAGCAAATAATAGTTCCCTTTTGTCCTCCTCCTTGTGTATCACCCCATCACTTGATTTGACAATTATATTCTGATGGCTGTCAAATTTATTTAGCCAGCCCAGACCTTTTCCCTGTGTGTCACAATGATATTTTCACTTGGACATCTCCACATGTCTAAACCCAAATTGATCATCTTTGCTCCTTGTCCTACTTTAATGGCTACTTATTTATATACCAAGGGGATAGGCAAAAGCATAAAAAATACCTTTGTCATTTGGAAATAAGCTGAATTATCCTTCTGCCTCATCTTTTGTCTTCATACCATCTATGAATTAAAATATTTACCATTTCCCTTTAATGCTAATTCCAAAATAGCCCACGATTGTGTTCCTTTGTTTCCATTTCTGTTGCTACTGGACCAGGGCCCCAATCCCTATCCCTTGGAATTTTCCCATACTCTTGAAATGATATCCATTTTTCTTTCCTTTCTCTCTTTACCTTCAAATGTTCTTTCATTGCATGGAAGTCTGGATCTGTTTCCCCCATTTCCAGTCCTCTTATGAAGCCCCGCACTCAAAGCTCCTGACCATCCTCTCTTTTCCTTCCCACAATATTTCTAATTAGTCTGTTTGAAATTCTCTAAGTTTATCTTAAACTCACCCAACATCCTGGTCTAGGACGTGCTGTTTTTTGGTTGTTTGGCAAGCATTCTTCATCTTTCCAAGTCCTGCTCAGAAACACTCCGTGGAGCTTTCCTCTGATGGACTGGCAGAAATCCACCAGTCTTCTTTTTCATCATCATAAGGCTCTATTCCCATCTCAGTTAATCAGTTTTCTTGTTGCTGTAGTATTTCCTATTTGTTTATCTGATGCTGTATTTAAATTCAAAGCTCTCTGATGTCAGAATTCATGTCTTACTCATGTCTTTGCATTCACAGATTTTCCCACTCCCCCACCCCAGTATATGATGGCTGGAATCTGATACTGAAAATGACCTACTTTCTACTGTTATAGGGTGACAAATACATGTATGATCTTGAAGTATACAGATGTGATTGAGAAAGACACCAAGTACCTGCAGCACTTATAGTGAATTTAACTAGTTTTAGCTTTTAAGTTTTTTTATTTTCAGTCTATAAAGAAATTATGAATTTTATTTCCAGGATCATTGCTGGAAATAACACTGGACACTAATAAAAAGGTGGTGTGAGCCCATTAAAAAAAGAAAATCCTGTTAGTGCTTTTGAAATGGTGACTATAGACTCTGTATGATATTTTAAAAATACAGATAAGCAAAATGAAAATATAAAGTACCAATGATCTATATAGTCAGAAGCAGACACTGTTCAGAGCTCAGTAAAAATCCTTTCAATCTTTCATCTCTACCTGTTTTCACATTGTGTTGAATTTGTAGCTTGCCAGTATTATTTTGCAAGTTACTCTTTTCGCTGAACAGTGTATTTTTCTCTGTTGGTAACTTTCAGTGTAGACACTTGGGTTAAATAGATACTGTAATTTATGTAGCTCATTCCCTAATGTTGGCATTTAAATTGTGCCTACCCTGTTGAGACTAGATAGAGTGTTGGACTCTCATCTGTAGTTAAGTCCTTGAGTGAAGCCTCTTCTCAATCCTTTTACCTATTCAAACATCAGTCCCATCAGTCAATGACTTCTGTTTCTTATCATCCTGCCACTTCTCTAATGATGCAATCATTAGAGATAGATAGCTATTTCTCTACAGGTCTCATTCTAGAGCTTCAGACCCATATATCCCACTACTTATTCCTGCAGATTTTTACTGCCTAAATATCACTCTGAGAGAAGCACATATATTCAGGCATAAATGCACTTTTCTTGTTCCAGCAGCCATTTTCTCATGCCTGCATTACAGTAATGTTCTGCTAAGTGGTCTCAGTGCCTTTGACCCTGCCCCTTCTTCAAACTGTGCCCCTGCTGCAGGGTGTACAGAGACATTTTCCTGAAATGCAATGCTGATCAAGTTTCATCAATGCTTGAAATCTCACAATGGTTTCCCATTCCCCTTAAAATAAAGACAAGATTCCTTAATGTAGCAATCAAGACCCTTTGTGATCTGACCCCTCTGTGGCTTCATCCTTGCCCACTGCCACACCCCCATCAATGTCTGTATTGTTTTACTCTTAAGTTTCTTCTAGTTCCTGGAAGAAGAACAGTTCTTGTTCACTTCAAGGTCTCTGCACATTCTGCCCAACTTCCTGGAACACTATTATCTGCTCCTTTTTCAGAGCTAACACCTATGTATTCTTTAAACTCAAAATTAAGTGGCAGATTCTCCTTCCCTAATACCACAATGAAGGGATGGGAGCCTGTTATATGTATTCCCACAACACCGTATATAGCCCCCATCAGGGTGCTGACTTAATGTATTATGATTGCACACATAATGAATTGTTGATCTCTTCCACTGGACTACAAGTTCAAATAAGAAGTATATTTTATTCAGCTGAATTTCTAACATAGTGTCTGAATTCCTATCTCTATTGCTGTCTAACAAACTACTCTAAAACTTGGTGACCTATAACAACCATTTTATTTTATTCACAATCCCATGAATTTGGGATTCTGAAAAAAATCAGTTGGACAATTCATCTCTAATCTACGTGACTTTCACTTGGTTGTGGGGGTAAGATCTCCTGCCAAGTTAGTTTTATCCCTCATATCTGATGTCCCAATATTCCTCAGCCTCCATCTCCAAAGTGTCATCACATAGCCTGGGCTTCTCATAATATAAGGTTTCAGGATAGAGACACTTTTAACATGTCAGCTGGTTTCAAAGAAGGCAGAAAGAGGAAGTTTTCAGATCAGTTTAGTACTATATTCGGGATAGGGGCATAATCTTACTCCTTCTATAGCCTTATTGGTCAAAGCAGTCACAAAGTTCATCCTGATGTAACAATGTAGAACCAAATTCCCTCTCTCGTTTCAGAAGGTCATTTGAATTTACAGATATTATTATGGGTATTCTGAAAAATGAGGTCATCTCTGGCCCAGATATGTATAGTTAGTTTGTATTCAGTATGTATGCCTTAAAATTGAATCTTTATAATCCTTAGTCTCAAAATCTAGTAGGGACCACACAATAATAGAGGCACAATAGATGTTTAAAGAATAAATACATTGGGGCTGGGGTTGTGGCTCAGTGGCAGAGTGCTTACCTCGCACATGTGCAGCACTGGGTTTGATCCTCAGTACCACATAAAAGTAAACAAAGATATTGTGTCCATGTGTAACTAAAAAATTAAAAAAAAACAAATAAATACATTATTTTATGCTTGTTGATTAGGGGCATATGTAAATATTACAATATACATAACAAAAAGTTAATGAAAAAAGTATTATAATACCACAATATTAATTTTATAAGCCTTAAAGGCTTGCACTATTATTAATATTGCAATTTTCTTCTTATGAGCTTCTAGGATATTCCATATTGTCTAAAATTAGAGAAACTAAATGACTAACATAGTGGCAACCCTTCTCTTTTTCTCATATAAGAACAATGAAAATAATATAATTAAACTGATACATATTGTTTCAAAAAAATTACACTATTGCATTCACTGCAGTTAATAATAAAAATACCTTGAACAGCAAAAATAGTTTTCATGTATGAAGTAGAAAATTGTCTGATGTTTTTTCATACAGACAAGTTGAATATGATATTGTTAGAAGGAAAAGAAAGAAATAAGGTAAAGGAAAATTAAATATCTTGTCTTTTTACAAACTGGGTAATAGTTGATTATACAAAAAAATTGAAACTACACTAGTGTTAGAAAAAAGGATTTGAAAGGTATGGGGTTTTTTTCCCCTTTTGTCTTTTGCCTGGTACATGCTATATGGTGAACTGTAGAGACACCTGCTTTCATAAATTAATGGAATCACCCCTTTCTTTCTTGAACATATTTATGAAGGCATCATTTTCGCAGGAGCCTAGAGTGTTGTGAGTCACAGTCATATACTTGTACATTATTTCAGAAGATGCTGAAACCCCTCAGGGGGAGGAATCTAAAAGGTTGAGGTTCGTTTGCAACAAGCCCCACTTGAATGCAGCATCTCGAAATAGCTTTTTGTTTTCAAGTAGAATATATTACATATTTCAAACTGTACATGTTTATCACACATTCCCCGGGATGGCCTTATTTACAGATGGTTTGAATACATTTTTTTTTCCTGTCTTTCCTCAGAATTTGCACGTGTTGGTAGGAGTTAAAAGACAGCTCTTGTTTAACATTTTTGCTCTACAGAATGTGAATTATCCAAACAGCAATGCTGGCATCCTTTCACAGGGAAGCTGGCCATTCTACATCCCTTTATTGATGGTCAAAACAGTCCCCTTTGTACTAAAAACTCTTACAAGACTGTAAAAAAAAAAAAAGAAGTTTCTTGTGGTATTTTGGATGTGCATGCTTACAAAGGCTGCAAATTAACTTTTAAGTATGCTATTTTATTGCATTCCAAATTAAACAAAGGTTTTCCTCCTATGTGTATGACAGAATCCACATTGAAACAATTATCCATTTTAATTTCTTAAATAACTCCAGCTTTGGCACATTTTTCATATTTCTTCTAGTGCCACACACAGACACATTACAAACCACCCAGAAATGAAAAATGATGAATTATATTAAAGAACCCTACATGTGTGAACATATAAAAAATGTGTAATAATGTACACTTATATACACATAGTCCTTTACTAAAACATGTTATTTTTGTTTCTTATGTTTTTAATTCAACTATAACTGAAACATACCTCTCCTGGCGTGCGCGCACATGCACACACACACACACACACACACACCTCTATTGGCATACATTGTGTGCGTGTGTGTGTGTGTGTGTTAATACCATTCCTAGAAGGAAGGAAGGTCATGATCTTGGAAGCAAAATTTGAGTTTAAATTCTGCATTTTAGACACCCTACTTTAAGAACTTTGAGAAAATCCTTAATTCCTCTGAATTTCAATATCCTCATATATAAAATGATAATTTAAAAAGTAACTCAGAAAATTGCTTCGAGAATTGAGATAACATTGTAAGATATGCTTAGATACAAAATATGTGCTCAGTGAGTTACTTGTTTTGTTTAAAATAATTATCATTTATTTTAACTGTCATGTGCTGAATCTGTGTTTTTTAATTCTATGAAATCAGGAGTGCAGGATCTGATGAGGTACTGTCATGAACCTTCTGCATGATAGTCCCCCATTGTGTCCCATCTTTGACCTTGCACCTTCTGAGCATCACTGTGTGTCCGTGTTTCCCTTTTTCGCAAGCATGCTCTTAATTAGGTGCTACTCTCTTGGTATTTTTCTCCCTTGGGAATAACACCTTTCCATGACTTTTCTTTCACTTAAGTCCAAATGCTCTCTATCTTCTCAGTCATCTTATATTCACTGGAGTAGATTGGGTAGTATTGGCAGAAAGACTACTTTTAACTGATGTTCTTCAAGCCTGTGGAGAGGTGGCTGAAACATCAGTTAATCTGTGAACTAAGACTGTGGGATACTACTTAATTTTACCCTCCGTTTTGATCCTTAACTAATTTCAGGTCATTAGAAAAAATACCTTTAAGCATGTTATTAAAGAGATAGATAGAATAACAGGAAAACCAAGGAAGTTTAAAACAGCCAATCACCTTCATTTAAACTCATAAATGAGTAAATTAGAGAAAAATCGCTCTTGGGTCCTATAGCTTTTAAAATGAATATATAGTATTATTTAATACATATATGTTACATACATATTAAAATATGAAAGGAATTGTGTTATGTGCTGAATATGTTTTTGTTAATTCTATGAAATTTTACTGTTTATAGTCTAGTTGAATTGACTTCGTTCACTTGGAATAGTAGAGTGGCAATAAAGGAAAGGGAAAGAAATGAATGTTTTTGGAGTGAATTGGGGATGAATGAATGTTGTCTTTGGCAATAATAAGCTATAGATAATTTGGAAAGTCTGTAGGACAAATACAAAGGTAGATGCTCCCCAAAAGAGTAATAATCAATGAAGTGGAACAAACTTATGTTATAGGTGCATACATGAATATTTCACAATGAACCACACTATTGTGTATAATTATAATGAACTAATAAAAACATTAAAATATGTATCACTTCCTATTTTAACTTTTATAAACTTTTCAATTCAACCGATAAACATGAGACTTAGCTGAGTATATTTCTATAAAACTTGAATAAAATGTACTGCAGGGAAGCCCCTAAGTGAGATACAACCCAAAGTAAAATCAAACTCGGATATAAAAGATTTATAGCATTTTTTTTTTACTTCCTCTGTGCAAATCAGCTCAACAGAAGTAAAGATCAAATCAGTTTCCTTGTGAATTTCTGGTTGCTTCCTTGTGTCCTGACTTAGATAATGAGCTGAGCTGTTGCTCTTTATTCCTGTTCATGCAGAAGGCAGCCAGCGAGTCCTCCTCCGCCTCCGCGGCCGATTTCTCCCCCGCACACCTATGGCTACATTTCAGGACCCCTGGTCTCAGATATGGATACGGATGCGCCAGAAGAGGAAGAAGATGAAGCCGACATGGAAGTTGCCAAAATGCAAACTAGAAGGCTTTTATTACGTGGGCTTGAGCAGACCCCTGCCTCAAGTGTTGGGGACCTGGAGAGCTCTGTCACTGGGTCCATGATCAACGGCTGGGGTTCAGCCTCAGAGGAGGACAACATCTCCAGTGGGCGTTCCAGTGTTAGTTCTTCCGATGGCTCCTTTTTCACTGATGCTGATTTTGCCCAGGCAGTGGCAGCGGCCGCAGAGTATGCTGGTCTGAAAGTGGCGCGAAGGCAGATGCAGGATGCTGGTGGTAAGTCGGGCACTTTCCCCAAGCCACAAAGAAAGCTCAATGTGTGTGCATTAGTGCTGATTAGCACCTATGGTTTGGTGTCTAATTTATAACCACTTTTTCTTTTCTTTTTTAATTGAGTAAGGAAATCAAAGTCCAAGAATATGATTTATTTGTATTATTTTCTTTCTTTCCTTCCTTTTTTTTGTCAAACTTCTAAATTCTGCATTTATTTAATAAACGCTATATAAATGAGAGTAAAAAGAAGCTAATTCAAATGTCCTCATTTTAAGTATAATTGTAAAAATATATATGACTGTATATCTGTGTGTCTGTTTCACACTGATTGGTCTAGTTTCTTTAAGGTATGTATTTACTCAGTTAAATGAGCTTTGTGTTGCTCAATGCATAGTATGTATAAAGTAACCCAGATAAAATTTATTGTGATAATTCTTTTATTTCATTTAATCAGATGTTCTGTCAAAGAAATATTTACATATCCAGGTGGGACAGTCAGCCATTGGAAAATAGGCTATTTCTTTTTGAAACTCATTTCCTCGTGTCTTTTCAAACTAGAATATTAATTTAATTGGGAAAAATTAAAGATTTGGATAATACACACACATTTTCAAGCATAAATATTTTCCCTCTTTGATCTAATAATTGAGAGAGAGCAGGTTTTAATCCAGATGCACATTATAAATTTTCTATTTCCCTTTCTCATTGCCAGTAACCTATTTTTAATGAGAATGTATCTCTTCTTATGTTTTAACCCATTTTTGCTTATTGCCTTCTCCTCCCAAGTATGATAAAGAAAATAATTTGAATATAAAACATATTTTTATGATTTAATTTGTGTAGGATGAATAAATATTTACACGAAGACATACATTCATATTATTGTGTGGTGCGTGTGCATCTGTGTGTGTGTGCACACGCATGCATCTGTATTTCTGGAGCTGTAAAAATGCACGTAGTAGAATAAAAGAATGTGGTCATCAAAAAAAGAGATAATATTTAGGGAAAAGAAAAGACTGTCACAACAATTGATACTTGTTACTTATTATTAACAACTGCCACATTGGTAATTTTCTGTTTTCTAGATACTTCATTTGTCATTATTTTTTATCAGTATAGAATATTTTCAGAGAAAATTTAACTTGCATCGTTAAGTCATCTCTATAAATTTTTTATCCTGAATATGTTGCAGAAAAAAAGATTTCTAATTTTCTTCATCCTATTACTATGGAATATATATATATATATATATATATATATATATATATGTATGTATTTTAGTCAGGTCTATATTTTATGAAATTTGGACTAATATCTTTTCTTCCAGTAGCTGCTGAATTCAGTAAAATATGCAAACCTAATTCTCTTAATGAATAAATAACCTTATATATAGCTTTTGTTTCCCTTTCCTCTTTAATTCTCTGTTAAAAAAAAAATACAGGAAATTAAGCATCTCAGACCACTACTTTCCGATTGCATTAAGGGTGTTTTTCAGTTCATTAAATCAGGAAAACATAGAAATGATGTTGAAAATTCATCTGTAAAGGACTTTATGCCTCAGGGTCTATGAGCAGTGGATGGCCTTACACAATAGAATGAGTGATGGGCTTCCTCTCAGCCCTAATTCTCTGTTTTCATGGATATGTAACTTTAATTGTAATAGTCTCTATCACAGCTAAGGAGAGGTTTTGGTTTAATATTTTATTATATTGTAATTGAGTAGCATTTCTGGTTTTCTCTTGGCTCATGATTATAATGAACTAAATACATGTCTGCCTATTGCAGTGTTCTTTTCAGGAAATGGTGATGCTCACCATGTGACTTGAAGTTAATATAAATGAATAACCCAATCACCTTGCTTCTCACTTGGCTGCATTAATGTCTATTATTTAATATGCTTGGGTTAGCATTTTTAAATGTGTTCATTTCTCTATATGTGGCTTCTTCTGTTTATAGTCAATATATATGTTGTCGGGTCTGTTTGAAATTTCTTATGGTACTAAGGAGTTCTGGGTTTGTGACTGGATTTTGTAGAAACCAAAATAGGGAAGGTCACCAGAAGGCCAGTGGCTCTTCATTGCCCTTCTGGGTTAAGTATGTTGTACCTGTTGTAATACATCATCTACGTAGGAGAGCCAGAGAATTTGATAGCACTGAAATGCACCATGTCTGATTGGTAAATTCAGTTCCCATTGGTATCTGGGAGTAATGTTTCTCCAAAAATAAATAACCAAAACTACCTCTACCTCCACCAAAACACAGTGTTTAGAAGAGTCACATTATCTAGAATCAGCAAATATCTTGAGACAGAAAAGGGATATAAGTCATTTTTGGTTCATCTAAATATGTGAGATAGATAATTTTAGATCACCTCAAAAGAAATACATTGGATTCTGCCATCATAGAATGTCAAAAATACATTTTTAGCTAAAATAAGGACGTGATTAGAACAGTTCATTCTTAGAACATGAATTTTTTAAGGACTCTGACTCTTTGGAGAAAACAACAAACATTGAATATATTATGCAAAATTTTAATTAATGTTTTTGTCCAAGAACATATTACTAACACTAGTTGCAAAAATATGGGAATGTGGGGCTAGGGATATAGCTCAGTTGGTAGAGTACTTGCTTCACATACACAAGGCCCTAGGTTCAACAGCCAGCACCACAAAAAAAAAAAAAAAGGAATGTTTTTCTTTACCAAATAAGTATCATCAGCCTACTATTTGTTAGATTTTATTCAAGTGATTTTTAAAATTAGGACTGTTCCTAGCTTCAGTGTTTTGCTGTTGTTGTTCCTGTTGATAATTAATATTCACTGATGAGTCTGGCTCTGTTGTTTCTTTCCCAGGTCGCCGACATTTTCATGCATCTCAGTGCCCGAGGCCCACAAGTCCTGTGTCTACAGACAGCAACATGAGTGCTGCGGTCATGCAGAAAGCCAGACCAGCCAAGAAACAAAAACACCAGCCAGGACATCTGCGCAGAGAAGCCTACACAGATGGTAAGTCCACTGAAAAGCACCTATGAATCCCGCCTGTTTACCCTGCCTCTCTGGGATCAGTGAATGGGTTCACTAACATTAGAAATTACATTAAAAATTAATTGATAGTAAGTGTCACATTATGTACAGGAGTGATCTACTTCCATAGCTTGTCAAGTACCTCTAGCCCTTATTGTTTTCTAATAAGTTGATTATTTAAGAAGAAGTGTATACCTTTAATATTTTGAAGTTTTCATTTTTCAAACAACTGGATGTGACTATAGTTGAAATAATGGCAGAGGATTGACTTTTGTCAGATTCCTCCAAAGTATCTCTATTTTTTTTTCATTTTACTTTTTTTACAACATAACATTCAAACAGAAGACAATACATTTGTGTGAATATTAATTCTACCCACAGTGGTATCACACCCAGTTATTTTGTGCACCAAAAGGCAAATCAAATCATCTTCTTCATGCCTTCACATACGATATTGACTGTCACTGAAGAGGGGCTGCTTGTATTCTCAAGGGAGCATGGGAGGAGAATGCAAACACTGTGATGTTGTCTAGAGAAAGACTTTAATGAAAGTGCCTCAGGTGGCCCAGCATTTATTAAACCGCCACCTTCTCGTTTTATAACACAACGCCACGGGCTTCGTTGGAAATGCATGTAAGATAAATTCTCTCCGACTCACCCACCTTGTCAAGTTTTCTAAATTTGCTAAAGGGGTGGGGGACAAAGGGTGTCACAGGCACAGTTTCCCCACCTCCTGGTCCTCTGCAACCACAATCTGATTAGGACTTTCATTACAAGTCAGCAATTTTTCAAAAAGGGCATCATTTGCCATTATCATATGAAAACCTAATATTATAGATCCTTATCCAAGGTTACGAGGAGGGTTTTCTGAGGTACTTCTCCCTGTGATTCCTGCCACTTGACAGAAAAATTTAATACAAAGCTCACAGCACGATGAGCACAAGTAATTTTGCAATGAGTGGCTGTCCGGGCTATTATCTGTACTTTATTCTGAGTACTTTCTCTCACTAGCATCTATCTGATATTAGACTACATTAAATACTGGCGTGACACAGCGCACCTGGGCCTCCTGGCTTCTGCCCAGGACTCTTTTGTCAGTGAAACTGAGCTGTCAGAATATTATCTGATTTTGAAGGGTTATTACAGTGGCTTTGTGCGTATTTGCCTCTGTGAGGGGACAAACACTAGGTGTAAATTCCCAAACTCTACCAGCCATTTTACATTTATGGGATCCCTGTAATGCCATTTTACAAGTTTTATGGCTGTTTTATCAATTTTTATTATCTAGAAGAGAGTGCTCCTAACTGGAAAACTGGCCAACATGGAGCCTGGATGTAAACACATCTAAATTGAATGCATAAGGGAAAATCTGCCTAAAGCAGATCTTTCCACCTCTTATTTATGTGTGTTTCTTTGGGAAACATGGCATTGAATAATGCCCCCTGAAAATGTTTTAAGTAATGCAAACATGCCAAGTTGAAAAATACAGCATTGTAGTTATGAATTACACTGTGCTTGAAAATTGTTATCTGTATTTATTGTCCTCATTCCACAGTACTTATTTCAGTGTGTTTAATAATTAAATGTAAATTCTAACTAATCCCTGAATAATAACTTAAATTGAATGATGAAACACACAAGTTATTTTTTTTTTAATTTAATTTCAGGAATACCAAAGAACTATATTGAAACATGTGTAAAGCCAAAAAGTTAATCTGAAACATTATTTGGATTTCTAATTGCTTATTTCACAAAAGTGATTATGCAAAATTATCATAGTACATACTTTAATATAGAAGCTAATAATTATTTTCTTTAGGTAACAAAATTAGATCAAATGGAGAAATAACTAAAACTGTTTTTAAATTATATATTTAACTTCCCTTCAACATTTTGCTAAGTTATGCTTATTATACTAATATTTCTTGAATTTAATTCAGCATGTTTACTGGTGGGTAGGAGAAAAAGTAATAAAGCTATATTTTATACATATCCCAGCATGCACATCAATTAATTAAAACCACAAAAATGCAGATATTTCTTAATGCATCAAATAAAAGAAATTCATGTATCCCCATACTCCATAATGCTAGAGATTGAACCCAGGGCTTCAGATGAGTGGGGCAAGGAGTCTACCACTGAGTACCTACCCCGCTAAAATGTACATAGTCTTGATGGCTATGGATATGACAGAGAGAAAAGTCATTTTCTCACAAACTCTTTTATCAACTTACTACATTATATTTTTTAAACACAAACCATTCCACAATGAAGCTCAAAGCAGACAAAATTTGTATAAAAATTTAAAAGGAGAAGTGGGGAGGAGATAGAATTTAAAAAGCTAACAAATGTTAAAATGTGAATTCCACATATCAGTAAGATATGGAAGGTTTGTTGGCTTTTCTTTTTTCTGACTGTAATGCATAGACTGATGGATGAGCTTGATTATAGTTTATAGATTTTTGTCCACTGTCTAGAACATGATGTATTAGTTTTGCATTTGTAGCTCTTTTACTTTGTAAATTTAGTTCAAATTCTGTATTCCCTTGGTAGAATTTTTGTAAACTCTATGAAAAAGAATAAAGAGTAACTTTGAACTGAGAGAGTGATCTGGAATGAGTCTTCTCAGTCCCCATATTAGTTGCTAAGGCTGCCATAACAATCTACCAAAGATTGGGTGACTTAAACAACAGACATTTCTTTCCTGAGCTCTAGAGGTTAGAAGATCACTAAGAAGGTGACAGCAGGGTTGGTGTCTTGGGAAGCCTCTCTGGCTTCAAGATGATGGTCTTGTCTCTGTGTCTTACATAATCTTCCAACTGCGTGTATCTGTGTCCTTATCTCCACTTCTTAGAAGGCCATTGGTTAGATGAAAACTCACACCAGAGAATTCATCTTAATAACTTCTCTAGAGACTCCAAATACAGTCACATTCTGAGGTATGGGGAGTTAGGACTTTTTGATATGAATTTTAGGGGGACATATTCTAGTCCCTAAGATTCTACCAGCCCCTCCAGAATGCTTGCATTGTGGGACTGCTGAATGCAAGGCATCGTGCTTCACACCACAGTCAGACTGACAGGCAGCATCTGATTACTTATTTATTTCATATTTGCCACGTTCAAGTTTAACCCAGATGGAGGATAGGATTAAAATATATGAATATTTATCAGCTGAAGTCTTATGGAGTTAAAGCCAAGCACAAGTGCATTTCTAGGACCTTCTAATAGATTCTTCCCACCCCCTCTTTTCAACCTTTCCAATACATTTACATACTTGATTTAAAAACCAAATCTATGTTATTTCTCTAGCTCTACTTTTCATAAATTATAAATTTGCCACACTCTTTGGAATGATGTTATTTTGACTTGATTTATCATTAATTACAAGGTCTTGGGACTTTAAGCAGTTAAGTAAATAGGCTGCCGAATCTCTATAGTGAGTTAATGCTGTGCTGGCAGAATTGTCTGCATACAATGTTCTTATATATTTCTGTACATGCTATATAATTTGTTATTTAGAGTCTTGTGTAAGAAGTGAGTTAATATTCTTATATAAAGAAAGAATACACACACATACACACACACACGTAAATCAGGTCCATAATTCCAGTTCTTAAACCCAATTTGAACTACTTTATGACATGAATTACGTGAAAAAACTATTTCACATAGGTGTATTGTTTACACGTGATTATGCCTGGTTTGAGTTTATAATCATTTTATAATCCTAAATAATTTCTCGGGCAAACGTGTTTATATGAGAAATTAAACCTGCTAGTATTCCTCTATAATTGTCAATTAAACACAGTGACGATTATATTCAGGAAGTTGGAATCTTTAAATCATCACTGAGTTCTACTTTTGACCTGTGTTACAGACAGCACCTAATGGAACATGTGGTAATAGGTTTTGTCTTAAGAGTTATATGTTCCCAAGACTTTGTATGATCTTGTGTTAGTGGTAATTGTTAGCTTTGATAGCTGATAAACACAGATACTTTTTGATTTGATGGTAGTGGCTTTTATTCATCTGCTTCCTGATAACCTGAGTTTATAATCTGGTTTATGTTTACAGTAAATAGAAAGTAGAGAAATGCATCTACAGTCTGGGTATACTCTGAATGAGGATTTTTCCCTTCCTCTTGTTTTTAGTCCCAGGTTCAATCTGAACTTAGAAGCACTCTGCCTTGGGTCTCCTGCCTTTAGGCCCTTCGTTATGGTCTGGTTTTTAACTCTTTCTGTTAACTTGATCAACAAGTAGCAGATGAGGGAGGACTTACACATCTAGTACTTATTTTTAAGTAATATTTTTGAAAAATCCACTGAAATAATGGACAAAGGAAGTAATTCATGTACTAGTAACAATGGCAATCCAATTGCAAGACAGAATACTTAGAATTTTAACATCAGAGGGAAATTAGTACTGTTGGCTCTACTTTGGCCACCCTATTAACTAATATGTTGAGCCTATTGATATGACACTTGAACATGTTAAGCCCCTGAAAGCCAACAACAAGAAACTGAAATTAAAACTTTGATCACTTTTTATAATGGGTTCTCAAGTACAGCAGCTGGTACTAAAAAAAATGTGAGTTCAAGCTGCTTCTTTCAAAGACCAATGCCATGAATCCTAATGCCTTAAGCTTTAGCCTATAATGTCAAGAGAAAATTAGTTAAGAAAATCTTACAATTTTTTTAGGAAAAAAGAAAGCGTTCATTCATTGTTTTTTAAATACAAGAATAGACTCCTAGATTAAAACTGATGCTTTCTAGGTCCTTCAATATACTATAGTAAAAATCTTCAAGTCACAATTTTAACATTTAAGTTTCTCATATTGGTACATGTAAATGATAGTTGGTAAAACATTGTCAGTAATAATAAAATAACTGGAAATAGCCTACATATTCCTCTGAAGTCATTGGCTACATAAATTATATATTAATAGAACAAATTGTTATGAAAACTTCTCAAAAAAGTATGTATTTATAAAAATGTATATGATAACATGGTTAAAAGAAAAAAGTACAATCCAATTCATGTTATTAAACACAGAAGGCTATATACTTGTGTCTGGTACTTTCTATCAGACTTGCCATCTGTAGATTATCAGATAAACACTATACATAATCCCAAGTGTGACCATTTTTGGTGGTCCTTGTCTATGAATGCTGCTTCTTTGAGTTTATGACTTGGCCGCCCTGTTTTTTTTTGTTGTTGTTGTTGTTGTTTCTTTTTTTTTTTAATAAATCACAGCAGAATGCATTACAATTCTTATTACACATATACAGCACATTTTTCATATCTCTGGTTATATACAAAGTATATTCATACCAGTTCGTGTCTTCATACATGTACTTTGGATAATGATGTCTATCACATTCCACCATCCTTGCTAATCCCCTGCCCCCTCCTTTTCCCTCCCACCCCTCTGCCCTATCTAGAGTTCCTCTATTCCTCCTATGCTCCCCCTCCCTACCCCACTATGAGTCACCCTCCTCATATGAGAGAAAACATTTGGCATTTGTTTTGGGGGATTAGCTAACTTCACTTAGCATTATCTTCTCCAGTGCCATCCATTTACCTGCAAATGCCATGATTTTATTCTCTTTTATTGCTGAGTAAAATTCCATTGTGTATATATGCCACATTTTTTTATCTATTTATCCATTGAAGGACATCTAGGTTGACTCCACAGTTTAGCTATTGTGGATTGTGCTGCTAGAAACATTGATGTGGCTGTATCCCTGTAGTATACTGTTTTTAAGTCTTTTGGGTACAGACCGAGGAGAGGGTTAGCTGGGTCAAATGGTGGTTCCATTCCCAGTTTTCCAAGGAATCTCCATACTGCTTTCCATATTGGTCGCACCAAAAAGCTTCTGGTGAAGCTTTTTGGGTCTTCCAGGTATAGAATCACATACACACACCAGCAATGTATGAGTGTACATTTTTCCCCACATCCTCGCCAACACTTATTTTTGTTTGTCTTCATAATAGCTGCCATTTTGACTAGAGTGAGATGATATCTTAGAGTAGTTTTGATTTGCATTTCTATAATTATGAGAGATGATGAACATTTTTTCATATATTTGTTGATTGATTGTGTATCCTCTTCTGAGAAGTGTTTGTTCAGGTCCTTAGCCCATTTGTTGACTGGGTTATTTGTTTTTTCGGTGCTTAGCTTTTTGAGTTCTTTATATACCCTAGAGATTAGTGCTCTATCTGATGTGTGAGGGGTAAAAAATTGCTCCCAGGATGTAGGCTCTCTGTTCACCTCACAGATTGTTTCTTTTGTTGAGATGAAACTTTTTAGTTTGATTCCATCCTACTTATTGATTCTTGGTTTTAATTCTTGTGCTATAGGAGTCTTATTAAGGAAGTTGGGGGCCTAATCCCACATGATGAAGATTAGGGCCTACTTTTTCTTCTATTAGATGCAAAGTCTCTGGTTTAATTCCTAGGTCCTTGATCCACTTTGAGTTGAGTTTTGTGCATGGTGAGAGATGGGGGTTTAATTTCATTTTGTTGCATATGGATTTCCAGTTTTCCCAGCACCATTTGTTGAAGATGCTATCTTTTCTCCAATGCATGTTTTTGGCATCTTTGTCTAATATAAGATAATTGTAATTTTGTGGGTTAGTCTCTGTGTCCTCTATTCTGTACCATTGGTCTATCAATCTGTTTTGGTGCCAGTACCATGCTGGTTTTGTTCCTATTGCTCTGTAGTATAGTTTAAGGTCTGATGCCCCCTTCTTCACTCTTCCTGCTAAGGATTGCTTTAGCTATTCTGGGTCTCTTATTTTTAAGATGAATTTCATGATTGCTTTTTCTATTTCTATGAGGAATGCCATTGTGATTTTGATCAAAATTGCATTAAATCTGTATAGTGCTTTTGGTAGTATGGTCATTTTGATAATATTAATTCTTCCTATCCAAGAGCAAGGTAGATCTTTCCATCTTCTAAGTTCTTCTTTGATTTCTTTCTTTAGGGTTCTGTAGTTTTCATTGTATAGATCTTTCACCTCTTTCATTAAGTTGTTTCCCAAGTATCTTATGTTTTTTTGAGGTTATTGTAAATGGGGTAGTTTTCCTCAATTCCTTTTCAGAGGATTTATCACTGATATACAGAAATGCCTTTGATTTATGGGAGTTGATTTTATATCCTGCTACTTTGCTGAATTTATTTACTAGTTCTAAAAGTTTTCTGGTGGAGCTTTTTGGGTCTTCCAGGTATAGAATCACATCATCAGCAAATAGTGCTAATTTAAGTCTTCTTTTCCTATACATATCCCTTTAATTTCTTTTGTCTGTCTAATTGCTCTGGCCAGTGTTTCAAAAACCATGTTAAATAGAAGTGGTGAAAGAGGGCATCCCTGTCTTGTTCCAGTTTTTAGAGAGAATGCCTTTAATTTTTCTCCATTTAGAATGATGTTGGCCTGAGGCTTAGCATAGATAGCCTTTACAATTTTGAGATATGTTCCTGTTATCCCTAGATTTTCTAGTGTTTTGAACATGTAAAGGTGCTGTGTTTTGGGGAATGTTCTATAGAAAACAGTTCAGATTGATTACTCTGAAAATTCAGCATTGGAGATTTGAAATGCAGATGGGGAGCCACTAAATGTTGTAATTTTAAATTTAAATCCTTAAAAAATGTTTAAAATTTTTACTATGTAAATGTATACTTTTTGTTTAAAATCTTATAGTACTAAATATTTAATAAATGTTTTATGAATACTTTTTAGGCTATTTATTGTAGACATCTCTAAAGACATGACTGAAAACATAACTATGTTGTTAATTCCCAAATCTCTGTTTCTCTGGTTTTGACACTCTTGAAATTCAGATTTTATATGCCTTTACTTATCCTACATCTCTATCTGGCTACCTCTAAAGCTCCTCCCATTCACTTTTCTAAAACTGAACTCACACTCTTTCTTTATAACATCTCTTCTTTCCTTATTCCTACATTCCATACCTTTGGTAATGTTTTTCTTATCTACTTAGCCATCTATGGCTAAAATCCTAAAAGTCATCTTACGTTCCCTTCACCCACACCCCCATGCTATATTCCATTGATCATTAGGTGATATTGCTTTTCCTTCCTCAGTGTCTCAAGATGCCCTTCATTTGAACAACCACCAACATTGTTCCATTTTCTGTCATTACTTACATGAGCAATCATAATAACCTCATGGCCTCCCAAAGTGAAACTTTTTCTAATTTTAATCCATCCTTCATACCATAGCTCAAACAATCTAACTTGCAAAATCTGTTCATATTCCTCTACTAATTTATCAAATATTATTAAGACATATCTATCTTTTCTCCCTGGAATGTTTGTATGATTCATTTTAAAAGGTTGTACTGGCTGGTCATGGTGGCACACGCCTGTAATCTCAGTGTCTCTGGAGGCCGGGGCAGGAGGATCATGAATTCAAAGCCAGCCTCAGCAAAAGCAATGTGCTCAGCAACTCAGTGAGACCCTTTCTCTAAATAAAATACAAAATAGGGCTGGGGGTGTGGCTCAGTGGTTGAGTGCCCCTGAGTTCAATCCCCAGTAACAAAAATAAAAAATAAATAAAAGAGTGTACTGTTTAAATAAAACAAATATTTTCTAGTTATCAAATGTTATGCCTACTTTCATTCTTGTATATGTCTACAATGTAAGAAATTAAATTAATTTATTATTTATATTATTTAAATATAGTTATAAGTATGTATATATATATATATATATATATACACAACATATATATGAAGAAATTAATCTGTATTTATATTAGTACTTATGTGGCTTAAAACTCGCAGATCTATACAGAAGGGAGAGAGTCCATCAATGGATGTGAGATTATAAACCTGATTAAATGAAGAAGCATAAAGAACACTAAACCAGAAATTTAGAATACAAAGGCATTAGTCCTGATTCTGTCATATCCTGCTTTTGAGATTGGAATTAGCTTTAAAACTATCTAGAGCTTTCTTGTCTACAAAATGAGAAGGGATTTAGGCTGGATTGGACAATGACCAGTAAGTCTCAACTGAAGTGCCAAGTTCACTCAATCTGGTGTGGTTATCTGAGGGTGTGAGAGCATGTATCTGGGATCAACAATATTATGCTGAAATCAATCAGGAAGTCTTGCCCTAAATGGAGTAGGGGAAATTACAGTACCTGTGCTCAGTACTGTCTGTCCCAGAAGATAATCTCTACGTCCCCACACTGTCATTCAGTAGTCCCTTGCTAGACAATGAGAGAACATTGAATTTGGCAGTTGTCTTATTCATTGGCTGTCTTCAGTTGGTTCCTTTAAGATACAATATTTCATGGTTGAATGTGACTCCAGTAATATTTGATTATTTTCTAAGTGGCAAACTTCTTAAAATATTTTAAATATTTCTTTTTAGATCTTCCACCTCCCCCGGTGCCACCACCTGCTATAAAATCACCTACTGTCCAATCCAAGGCACAGCTGGAGGTACGACCTGTAATGGTGCCAAAACTCCCTTCTGCAGAAACCAGAACAGACAGATCGTCAGATCGAAAAGGAGGCAGTTACAAGGGGAGAGAAGTATTGGACGGAAGGCAGGTTGCTGACCTGCGAACAAACCCGGGTGATCCCAGAGAAGCACAGGAACAGCAAAATGATGGGAAAGGACGAGGAAACAAGGCAGCAAAGCGAGACCTTCCACCAGCAAAGACTCATCTCATCCAAGGTACTGATTTACTCATGCATAGAAAACACAGATGAGCAGGTGTTTGCAAGGCACACAGGCTACCTAGGGCTATATGAAGAGAGGTAAGATCAAGAAGTTCGCTCCTTATCATGGAGCCAGGCATGTACCCTGGCTTCTGTAAATCACACAATTATCACCTCTGTGTCCTTGGCTCTGAAATTCATTCTACCCACAACTTTTCTCCTGATCTTTAAAACCAATCATCTTCTTTCTTATTGATTTTCTTTATATCTGTGTTCTTGTCAGCATCCTAATTCAAGCTGGAAATTATTTTCTCCATGAAATCTAAAGCTAAAGAATGATTTCAACAGGTTCCACAGGTGAAACAGGATATCAGATAGAGAAAATAGGCCGAACAAAACCATGAAATTGTGAAAATGAATGTTTGATGAACAGTGGTTTCCAGTTTGGTTGAAGAATAGGATGCTTAAGGCCAGGGGATAAATGGAAAATGGTAAAAATAGAAAAGGTAATTAGATTGGAAAGGCCAGAGATACTCTTCAAAAGAGTTTGGGATTTATGATGTAGGATATAGTGAGCCAATAAAGAATTTTGAGTGAGAAATAGCAATCAGATTTGACTTTAGCAAAATAACTACCTGGGCTGTATGGCACAGAAAGAGACTGGAACCAGGTGGAATAGTGCAGTGATAATCCAGGCATAAAATGTGAAACCACTGAATTAAAATGGATTGAATGAAAAGGAGAAAACAGCCTACATTTGCATTTCAGAGATGGGCCCAATAGGACTTGATGACTCATCAGATGTCAGAATGTAAATTGAAGTAATCCAGTTAAAGACAATTATCCAAATGTTGATTAGGTGGCCCTGTCTGACTTGTAATATAATTGAGCACAATTATATTAACCAATATAGAAAAAAGAAGAAAAAATAATTTTCATGGGGAAAATAAATTTAGTCTTAAATGAAGATGCTGACAAGAGCAGATAGATATAAACAAAATCAATAAGAATGTAGAAGATTGTTTTTAAAGATCAGGAGGAAGGTTGTGGGTAGAGTAGATTTTGGAACCAAGGACACAGAGGTGATAATTGTGATTTACAAAAGCTGAATATCAGCGGTGATATGCTGGTAAATGGTTAGCCATCAGTTCTCAGGGAGAAAAAAACCTCAAGACTAATTTGTAGCATTCTGTTAACTTTGTTTTTAATCTACTTAGAGGAGATTGGTGAATGTGGAAATAGGAAGAGACGAGTACAGTAGTTTCTAGTGAGATGTCCCAAAGTGTCACCACCAGCCACAGAAGATTATAATTAGAGAACAGGCAGAGAATCCATGCTCTGTAAAGGAAACTGAGATTGTCCTGTCTACAGATAATAATCAAAATTATCCAGGGTTTTGAACATAGTGTGCTCATGTTGGGGTGTGGCTCAGGGGTAGGGAGCTTGCTAACACGTATGAGAGGCTTTGAGTTGACCCTCAGCATTGCCCACCCCCCAAAAAAAATAACCTGGAAATAATGGAGGAGGAAAGGATTTTTGTAATACATCACCCATGAGTACTAGTAGTATTAAAACAAACAAAACTCTTCAGTGCAGTATGCAAAGTAGAAGCCAGAATTCAGAGGATTGAAAAGTGAATGGAAATTTGGAAAGGGAGGTGTTGGCAAAACCTCTTTCCAGAAAGTTGGGTTGAAGAGGAGGAAGGGCTGCAGTAGGGTTGGCAGGAAAGTCAAATTGGTGGAAATGTTTGAGGACGAGAGATTTGAACATGTACTTTATAAATAAGGAGAAGAAACCATTTAAGAGGAAGAGATTCTAGAATAAAATTCGCTTTATGGAGGAGTCAGGAAAGAGAGAGGGTAGTAGACAGGAAAGCTAAGGGTACTTCCCTATAGAGATTATGTCGTGGTAAGCTCTGACATCAGTCTGTTGCTCTGTCCACTGTGGGCATCTGGGCAGTCGTGAACTTCCCTTCAACATGGAGGGCAGTTTGGCTTTTTTCAGGGACTGAAGTCTGGACTCCTACTGCAGGTGTGCACTCAGCAGTGAGGTGGAGAGTTCTGCTTTGCTCTTCAGTCACCTCCACTCTGGGACCACAAACCCCTGGAGAGGACACCACAACCCAAAGTTTCAGTAATGTGCTTGCTTATTTTTAAATCAATTAAGTTGGAGTGGATCTGGACCTAGCTTTTGGCTCATAGTGCTCCAAGTACTGATTCATCAATAAAAAGTCACGATGTAAGTTATGAATTTTATATCTTGCCAGAAAGTGTAGACCAATTTCCTGCTCAGAGCAATCTCTCTCTCCAAAGTAGGTGGGATTCCTCAGGAGGAAACTTTACAAGCCTGGTAAGAATCTTGGTGTCACAAAATTGGGACAAAGAAAGAAATTTAAACATTGATCTTCAGAAATTTAATGAGTGAACTAAGACTGGAACCATTAACCTTTTTTTTTTAGGTATATATGTATATTTTTTAGTTGTAGTTGGACACAATACCTTTATTTTATTTATTTATTTTTATTTATTTTTATGTGGTACTGAGGATAGAACCCAGCACCTCACACGCGTTAGGCGAGCCTTCTACCGCTGAGCTCTACCCCAGCTCTGGAACCATTAATCTTGAAACAAGAAATTCTTTCTGTTTCATGAGAAGTATTGAGTATACTGCTTTTCAGAATTTTTTTTTTGAACTATGGCCCTCTGTATGTGTCATTAGATTATCATTTCTATGCTTGCTGTAATTTTCACCTTCATAATTCAACTTACATTATTTATAATGAAAGAGGCACGCTGATTTACATGTGTAATGTATGGTACTGTTTTAATTAAGAAGAGTGGTCTTTGAGTCTTGAACATCTGATCTTTTTGCTGGCATTTACCTCTGTTAGTTCAATTTATTTCTGCATCTATCAAATGCCCACTGTGCTATTAATTATTGTACTAAGTCCTAAGATTTGTGTAAGCATGAACCTTGACCCTAAGGAACTGAAGTCAGAAAGAGAGAGACAGATAATCTATAAATTCATGGATATTTTTTATTTAATTTTTAAATTTCTGCAGCCTCCCTAGGGCCATCATTGCTGGCCATTGAGCCTCTAGGCAGCCCTAAAGTCTCAGCCAAATGAATATTTTTATTTTATATTCAGTATACTTTTCATGGTATTATGCTACTTGAAAGTCTGAAACAGGGACAATTAGCTCACTGTTGTGAGAGACGGAAGGTTAGTAAAGAACTATTCAACTGACATGTAAACTGAGTGTTTGAGCATGGGTAGGATTTAGCCAGGCAAGGAAAGTGGATTGTTCACGTGGAAAAGTCAGCGTTTAAAGCTGTATGGTCCATTGGGGAGATTGTAGGAAATTCAATCAATAAAAGTGCAAAGATGAAGCTCTTGAGGTGAAGAAGGCTTAAATCATAGGCACCCATAGATCATATAAAGAGGAAGGATGTTGAGAGAAGCTGGTTTATATGTAACAGCTGTAGAGGCAGAGATGTGTTAGAAGATGTGTACAACTCCCAGACAAGAGATGCAGAGAATTTAAACCAGGATATCGGAGAATTGATGAGTTACTAGGAAAATTCAAGAAACTCTTAGAGTCAAATCAACCTTAGTTGTTGTATGTTTAAATATATGGAGGAAGTACATTTAAGACATACAGGAAGGTTTTTGAAAGGGCAGAATGAATCTCAGATAATACAAATTTTCTACCTTGAATATCCTAATGATTAGTGATACCAGTAGTTGTACTAGAGAATAGAAAGGGGGATGAAATCTCAGGCAGATGGGCAGGATGAGATCATTGTCTGTATGCTGAGTCTGAGGAGGTGTTCAGTTAGGCTGGCTGTAGGGCCCAAAGATTCAGGACATAATTTGGGAGTCGAAAATATAAATGAATGTTACCTAATGATGAAAATAGCAGTTAAAGGTGCTCACTCATTCGGGCATTTGAAACTGTTTATTAATGACCTATTATATGTCAAACGGGGAATATATCAATATGTGAAGCTGACAAAAATACCTGTCCTCATGGCAATTATATTCTGGAAAATGTTCAGTCTATAAAAGTGAGGGAAATCACCCAGGATGAATGGAAGAGATAGCATACTATGAATAAGAGGCACTGGGCTGACAGAAGAGAACTATGGGGTGCTGGCATGCAAGAGGCACTTCTTAAAATCAAAAACATTCTCCGGAAGATTGGTCAGGAAGGAAGGAGTACTGAACTAAGAGAATAGAAACATTTAAATGATAAGGGCAGTGAGAAATCCAGAGATGAAGGAATGAAACTTGGTTAGCATTATCCATTTTTTGAGTTTTACAGTAGTAATGTGGGCATGAATAGATTTCAGGGGAGACGGAGTGAATGGGAGTTGTAACTACCAATACTGAGTCAAAATTGCTTTTCAAGAAGCTCAGCTGAGCAGTGAAGAAAGAAGGTATTGATTCCTATAGAAAAGAGAGTAAATCAAAGTTTTAGCAGAAGATATTTTTTAATGTATTATACATACAGATATATCAGGTAAAACTGAAATCAATAGAAAGAAAAGGTTTCTGAAACAGGGACAGAGGGCGAAGGCCACAGGTGACCAAGTCTCCGAAGAGAGGTTGCCTGAGTGTTCATCCTCTTGGACTGGGACACCCCCATGAGTCCCATCTGTGGATGAAGTAGAATGATAGATGGCTCAGACTTGGAGGAGGACAACGTTTTTGTGCGAGGTTGGAGGAGTGATCATTTAGAAGTGGTGCTGTGAGCCAGCGGCAAGTCTTCCAACCTGACCCTTCCTCTAGGAAGAGTACCAGTGGGCATGTCAGAAGAAGTGGGGTTTCTTCAGACAGTGTGGATGGCAGAGGAAGCATTTCAGGGTGGGGAGAAATATGTAGAAGAGATTGGTTTTGATGTCTTTCGTGCTCAGAGGGTAGAGTGGACAGGATACAAAGAAATGTGAGCAATTGGATGGTGCATCTTCAATAAAAGTGGCAGTAAATTGAAAATAGTCTGGAGATAGAAATTTGGGTACTAGCTAGACATTGACTAGCGTGCCTTGTGTTTTAAAGTCAGCAACAATGGCAGGCTTCTGAAGTCCAGAGTTCCATATTACTGAAGTGGGGGTGACTACCTCTGTGGCTGGGGAGTAAACCCAGGCTTGGCTCTGATTTAGTAGTTCTAGAAGACTGGGTTTCATTTCTGCTGCTTCCTTTTAAGAACACTCTGTAGCTTACATGTATATTTCACTATCTTATCTGTTTTTATATCAACACCAGGAGCTTCTCTAAGTAGATTCTATTATCACTTTTTTGGAAAAAAAAATGGAAACTAAAGCCTAAATAATGATCAGAGATCACATGGTGAATGACATAGAATTGGAAACCAAGTCGACTCCAGGTTTGGTTTACTTCCTTAAGTGTTATCAGTCCCAAGAGAATTCTGATGTGGATATAAGCTTAGGAGTGGAGTCAATCCAAATCTCCAGCCACTACTAGGAAAACAAGGCTTGCTACTTTTATTTTCAAAAGCCAGTGTGCATTATTCATTATGCTTTTATAGTGCCCTTATTTATTCTTTGCAATAACTGATGCTTCCCCATTCAGAATTATAGAGACAGGAGGGATGCTTTATACAATGAAAGTGCACAGTGGTGTTCACATGCATTTATTATATTCTGTTACACAGAGGATATTCTACCTTACTGTAGACCTACTTTTCCAACATCGAATAATCCCAGAGATCCCAGTTCCTCAAGCTCAATGTCATCAAGAGGATCAGGAAGCAGACAAAGAGAACAAGCAAATGTAGGTCGAAGAAATATTGCAGAAATGCAAGTACTTGGAGGATATGAAAGAGGAGAAGATAATAATGAAGAATTAGAGGTATCTCTATTTTGTTCCCAATTTTTTTCCTCATTAGACTGTAATTAATATGTCAACCTCAAAATTAGGAATATCCGTCAGTGTGCAGAAACATTACTATTTTTGTTACACACTTCTCTATACCCTAATGTTTGTGATGTCAGAAACCGACATTCTGAGCATATAAGGATTTTCTTGAAATGTATTTTATAATTTTAAATGTCAGTAGTAGTTTCTTTGAAGATATTTTCAAATAAGAAATATACATGGCAAAGATAATGCTGGGAAATAAGAATTATAGATCTAGATATACTGTAATTCCTAGTGTTATATGAAAACTCAGTGAGGTGGTGGAGTTTTATAATGTGAGAGTGTGTAGCCCATGTTACCTGTCAGTCTAGCAATCACCAGGATCAATTTAGCTGATTTGGACACACAACTTTATATATATATATATTATGTATATATTTTAGTTGTAGATGGGAAACAATATCCTCATTTATTTATTTCTTTATTTTTATGTGGTGCTGAGGATCGAACCCAGCGCCTTACCCATTTGAGGCAAGTGCTCTACCACTGAGCCACAGCCCCAGCCCTGGACAATATCGTCCACCTTCACTCTTTTAAATATTCAAATATTTCCTCCCTTATTGGAATCTATAAATTATGATGCATGATAGAATTGCAAGTCATGTTATATTATAAAATCCCCTCCCTTTTAAAAATTATTGTTTTCTACATTTAATAAAAAATCAGCACAGAATAAATTTTTTTATTACAAATATATTTAGCCTCAAATAGATGGTGAGGATTAAACTATAACTTCATAATAAATGAAGAAAATATTAGAACCAATCATGTCTAATTGAATGCTGTCTAAAGCCAAATGTATTTTGATTTTGAAGTTTGGAAAAAGTCTTTCCTGCTGCAAATGCTTCGGAGAGATTTTTTTGTCAAATTTGCCTTTTTTATGTAGGAAAACCCTGTTGGAGGATAAAAAATCATTATAGTTAATTCTAATATTTAAAGTCAACAAAGGAGAGTTATAGGATTGAGTTGGGATGGAGAGGGATGGAGAACTCAGCATATTCCTTCTCCTGCAGAGCCCTGTGTTCTGCCCCCACAACACTGAGGCACAGTGCAAAACAGTTGGGTGCTTGTTAGAGAACTGTTGGATTTGCTATCAAGACAACTAAAGTTGATAGATGAATTAGTTGTCATGAGCACTTTTCAACTTAAGCCAGTGAATGGAGTGAAAAAAAAAAACCATTAGACTGTAAGAATAAATGCCTAAAAAACAAGACGAGTCAATACTCTTGTGATTTATCTTCAAGTTTAACAATACTGCCTCTTTTACAGGAAACTGAAAGCTGAAGACAACCAGAGAGGCTTGTGCGATCTAATGTGAAAATTATCAGTCAAGATGCCTCATGTCTGATGACACATGACGCCAGATAAAATGTTCAGTGCAATCAGAATGTACAAATTGTCGTTTTTATTCCTTGTATTGGGGTACCATTTAAAAAAAAAAGTTATTGGGTTTTTATTGTTGCTCTTTGATCCCTAACCCTAGGAAGAACCTTTCTCTTCCCCTCGCTGTTGGAACCATTTCTCTTGACTTCCAGCAAGAAAAGTGTATCAACTTCTTGCTTCAGTCATCAGCCTCAAGAAAGAACCAAACAGTTCTTTTGCATTTTGCCCCTGAGATATGGCATTGCACTGCTTATATACCAAGCTAACTTATAGCAAAATATTGATTGAAGATACAAACTTGATTTATCAACCTCATGCCAAGGGCTCTCAAAGTATAATCTTTCTATAACCGACTGCTAATGCAAATCAAAGCATATTTCATTTTAACATGATTTTAAAATCAGTCTTTCATACCACCCTTTGTGGGGAGAAACTAAAAATATAGCAAATGCAGAACAACAAACAATTCGAACGGGGTAAAAACATTGTAAATATATACTCTTTGCAACCCCTGGTGGTACTTTATTTTGTCTTCATTTCAACCATGGAAGTATATTCTTATTGGAAATGTACTTTTTGATAAGGAGGGCTAAGCCAGTTGCATCTCTGGTTGTCTAGTCATTGTCATAAGGATGCCTAGCAAAAAAACCTTGTTCTATTTTTCAATCAAGAAGCAATTATAAATGCACATTACAAACAAATGGATGCCTTTAATGACCAATCGAGTAAAGACATCCTATCTTAACTGGCCTAAATTTCTTCTGGTAGTGTCAGTTCAGCTTTCAGAAGTGCCACTTAAGGAAGTTTATTTGATTTTTGTTTTTGTAATGCACTGTTTTTAATCTTTTTTTTTTTTTTTGGTTTTAAAAGCACAATCACTAAACTTTATTTGTAAACCATTGTAACTATTAACCTTTTTTGTCTTATTGAAAAAAAAAATGTTGAGAAGCGTTTTTAACCTGTTTTGTTAATGCTCTATGTTTGTATTTGGAATATTTGAATGATAAGAGATGGTGGAGTCACGTGCATACTTTATCGTGGGCCATGAACTAGAGGGTTCTTACTTTTCCTAGATTTAAAGAAAAAAAATGGTTTAAGTTTGTTGTGGCCAATGTAGAATCCTACAAGCTTTCCTTATAAGCTCAAATAGGGCATTACTGCTTTGAATTGCCAAACGATGCCCTCTGACTGTAGATTTTTATGATCTTTTTTTGTCATTATATGAATTTCATTGACTTTATAATTGGTGCTATTTGAAGAAAAAAAAATGTACATTTATTCATACACAGGTATCAGGCCTGACCCCACTGGAAAAACAAAGCCAAACAAAACTGAACCACAAACAATGGCTGGTGTTCACCAAAAATGAAAAGTGCTCACTTAGATTATTTGAGAAAGTTTCATAGAAAGCGTGTGCAGTACTAAGGGAACAACCCATGTGATTAATGTTTTCATTATGTTCATGTAAGAAGCCTCTTATTTTTAGCCATAATTTTGCATACTGAAAATCCAATAATCAGAAAAGTAATTTTGTCACATTATTTATTAAAAATGTTCTCAAATACATCATTCTTTCTTGTGTTGATTTTTTTTTCCATTGTGTGCTGATCAAATTTACTTCATTTAATCACAAAGTCGTTTTGTCTGAACATTTCACCACTATATTATCAAAAGAGTAAAAATTCTCAATTAGTTTTATGGGCATCCAGGTTTTACTTATAAGGAAAAATTCCCATTTAATTCCTCTGACATGAAAAATGTGAGATGAATCTGAGCTTGAAGTTAACTATTTGGTAAAAGAGTAACTCTTAAGGGTTTGCTGTATTTGTTTATGTATGTGCATCTGAATTTCAGTAACCCTATTTCAAAAATAATCAGAATTCAACTATGATAAACCTGATTTGTAAAGTTTGAACTGCCTACATTCTGTCGACCAAAAGAATCCAAAGTGCTCATTAGTAACTATCTTCCTTCTTGTTACAAATTCATGTGACATTTTTAGAAAACATATACCAGGTTGCACATTATGATACGGTAAAGTCAGCATTTTTAAGCATTCAACTTTGGATGGATGAGATGGGTATCATGTCTTGGAAATGATAAGAGCAAAAGAAACTGTTGAAGGTTCTTTTGCTATGACATATATATTGTTCTCCTACCTAAATTTTGTGTGTATCAGAATTTGAAAATCAGTAAAAAATTGAAAAAGCAGTGTAATTTGAAATTTAAATATATGAAAATGACGTAATCACCAGCATCCATTTATAGATGAATAGGTCCACAGGTCAAGTCAGTTTCCAAGCTTTTTGAAGGAAAACAATGAAGAGGCATATTTAATGGCCTAAATTTTTCTTTCCCTTGATGGGCAGACTAGTTAAGACTTTCTTTTTTAATAGTATGCAATACACATGCAAATTATCAAGGCCCTGAATTTGAGTCCCAGTTTTGTCTTGACTATGTTTCCTTGGACATGTTACTTAACCTCTAAGTCTCAGGTACCTCACCTGTAAATTCAGTAATACCTACCTCATGGAGCTATTGTCATGATTTAGTGAGTTAATGTATATGGTATGGACTTTGTAAACTCCACAAACAATACAAGATCTTATATTTATGGACTGAAATTCATTACACATGCAACCCCATTTTCATACATAGTTTGTTCTTAAATATTTGCATGAAAGTAAAAGAATAAGTGTGGTATAAGGATGAGGGTGGTCAGTTTCCGGTAAGTAAAATTCACTGTGAAATACCTAATTGTGGAATAAATTCTTGGTGTTATTGTTTGTCTGTTTGCTTCTGAATTCAAGGGCCATACAAGGGGCGGTGATAATGATGTTTTCGGCACTCTTTGCACAATTCAGGGCTGCAAAGATGTCACTTAAGCTCTCCATATATAGATTTGGTATATCGGGCTGCTGTTCTGCCTAGAGGCAGAAAATGTAATCCTAATTCCAGAAGATTTAGGTCATATCTGGCTTGCTTTCATTTCAGATATAGTCTAATTTCCATCTTTGCAAGGTGGCATCTCAATCCAGCATCATTTTAGCGGCTCACCTCTCAACCATTACTTCTGGCAAAATGCCAGGGGCCATTCCGACTTGGCTGTGGCTCTCAACAGACTCCATGTGTAGAAAGCATGGGGAGGTGGGAGGCAGGGGGCTTGAGGTATTGCTGTTGCCAAAATTTCTGGTGATCTCCATTTGTTGAACCCTTGATGTGTAGCCTCTGATTTCCAGCCTTGATTTCCTTATCCATTGGCCCTCCCTAGACACTTCTGAGTCGTTTGAGATAGGTTGAGTGTAGCAAGCTGGGAGGAAAGTTTCTTACATTCTTCCATGCCATGTCGGGGATCCAGAGACCCAGGATTTAGAGATCTGGGGCTCTAGAGACTTGGGACTTCCTCAGAGCCTTTCAAGGTACTGCTATGCCTCCTCAACTGCATGCCACATTTGGGTAGTGTGTGGATTGGAGAAGAGGATGAGAGCTACCACTGCAGTTTGGAAAACACTAAAGTAAAATCATCTGCATTTTGAAGATAAATCTCTTTACATTAAAAATAGTTTGGAAGCCATTATCCTAACAAATCATTGTTGTATGTCTGAAACTGGAATGCATCCTACAGCTGCAGTATCTTAAACAATCACTTCAGCCAGGTGACGTTCATGATGTAGTTTTCACTGCTTGCCATTAAAAAAAATTATGTCTCATACAAACAGATAGTGAACATGTGTCAAACTTTTATTTGTCTCATTAACAAGGAAAACTGCAAGAAGACAAGAGCAGTTGAAGAGCAGGCAACTGCAGAAGGAACTTACATATGATTGCTTAGTTAACTTTCTTTAGGACAATACAAACTTGATGTTATTATCTCTACTGGGCTAGAGAACCCTAACACCATTCTTTTTCTTTAGGCTAAATAACCACTACCCTCGGGGCTACATGAAGTCCTCACATTTATTATTTGCAAATTATTAATCAAAAAAAATCCTTGGAGAATTTACAGTTACCCATAAGATGAGGAGGTCAGTGACTTACTCTAGTCCTTGTTTCTCCAGAAACAGAATCTGAGACAAAGACTTGGATGTGAAGAATATATTTGGGATACAATCCCAGGAAGTGGAAGTGAGAGGTGAATAAAAGAAGAAAAAGTTCATGTAAGTCCTCGAAAGGATGTGAAAATACCTCCACTGGAGGGCTTCATTGGTTCTTCTGAGAAGAATTCAAAATGCCTCCCAGAACCTTGCACAGAAGGACAGGAACCTGGGTCATTATCATTTGGTTCCTGTTCTTTATTAGTTGCAGGTTGCTCATTGGGTAAGGGACCTAACTTCCCAACATTATAGTGAGTGGACCAAGTGGGAGCAGAAAAGATGAAGCAGAAAGAAGGCAGCATCTGGCAGGCATTTGAGCTGGGAAGTTGCCAAGAGGAGGTGAGTCTGAGCTCAAAGAGAAATGACAGCCACTGTGAGTCCTCAGTGGCAGCTCCTCTGAATAGGATTGTTAGAAAATATTTCAGCATGGTATCAAAAATCAAATAATCATCAGCTTACCATTTTCCAAATTTAAGGTAAATATTCTTTCATAATACCCTAAATGAAATTAGTCACAATTACTCAAATTACTTTCACAATTGGTGGAGTTATGACAAATTATCAATTGTTGGTATTATATGTGTTGAATTTTAAATGCCATTTAACCTTCTAAAAATTTTTACAGTATCAGCATTGAAATAAAACAAAATAAAGGATATGAAAACAGATACAAAGAGGATCCTTAGAAAAATAGCTACAACTTTCCATTTTCTGGGAAAGAGAAAAGCTTTACCATACCTAAGAAAAATAAGTGTTCACAATCATTAAAGTACTTCTAACACGTGTGTGCTCGCTCTGTGCTCTCTCTCTCTCTCTCTCTCTCTCTCTCTCTCTCTCTCTCTCTCTCACACACACACACACACACACACACAGTGGATGAAGGCAGGCTAAATTACCAAATCCCTTGGAATAAAATGAAAGAAATACCAAGCAACGTTGAGGATGGCGTAACCAATTCATTTTTTGTCTAAGACTATCATTGAGGCATTGTATTGTAACAAAAGTTGGTAGTGTTTTCACAGAAGCTCATAAAACAAACCTGTTAATTTAATGCAGTATTAAATTTAATGAAATGTAACATTTATATGAGCTTATTCCCTTAAATTGCGCTCATAAAATTTGCATGAATTGGGTACTCGAGCAAACTTAATGTTTGTCTTCCCAAATGTTGAACTACTAATCTCCAATGTAATGGCATTATGAATTGGGGCCTTTGGGAACTAAAGAGGTCATGAGGGTGGAGCCTTCATGAATGAGACTGGTGTCCTTATAAAAGGGGACCCTGGAACACTCTTTCTTTTTTCTGCCATGATATAGGAGAAGTCAGTGCACCAAGACCTAGTAGACTTCCACCTTGATCTTGAACTTCTAGCCTCTAGAACTGTTAGATTTGTTATTTATCAAGCCACATTATCTATAGTAATTTGTTACAACAGGTTGAAAATATTAAGACAGGTCTTTGGCATAATCACCAGCTCTCTGTGCAAGTTAATCTTTGAGTTATTAAAAATTCTTTTGGGAGAAACTCTGAGGGTTTTGATTCTGAGTAAAACAGAACTTTCAGTGCTTCTAGGTCAAGTGATTTCTATAACTTTCTTAGTTCAGAAATTAACAAAAGTAACCTGGACAAGTGGGGCATTTTCTCTGACCTGCACTTCAGGGGTCTTCTACACTTTGGAGAGCCTTGTTTGGAACTTAAGTCCTTCTCTGTTGCATGCAACTGGCCAGGGCAGGCAGTGTCATCAGAACTGAGTTTCAGAGCCTACATAGGGACCAATGTGCACCTTGGAGTTGACACCTGGTGGTTTCAGAATTAGAGTCTAGGGAGTCCTCCTGGGGCCCTGGAGCTGGCCCCCTGGTTCCAGGAAAGTAGTTTGTTGGTAGATTGCTCACACTGGCTGACTTACTTATTTTTCATAAAATTGAGTGGGGTTATGCTGCCAGAATAGCACTGTCATCTGATTTAAGATGACTTAAATTGTTACTATAGGTAGGAGCCCTGTAGAAATATTTGCCCTGGCTGCCGGCTAGAGCAACTCTAAACACAGGAAAGCGGCATAGTTTTAAACCAAATCTAATATAAACCTGAGTTTTATGTTAAATGCCTATTTAATACTCTACTTAGTGTTTTCCACAATAAGAAAGATTAGATAGTATATATTCAGCACATTATGTACCTGTCCTCTGTAGAGGACACTCATACATCATTTCTAAAATGAATCTTCCTTGTGTGTATGGGAATGAATGTTTATGTGTGTCTCTGTGATTTGGGTGGCAATGATAAAGTTAATGGTTCTTTACATACATTTTGCTTTTGAACTTACAAGAAAAAATTATGCAACATTTCAGTAAGGGCTTGGGAAGGGGAAACCATTCAGGATAGCTACTCTGGGGAATATCATAAGAAGTAAATTGTGAATAAGTGGATACCTGAAAAATTAAGTCATTATTATGTACCTGCTAGGATTTCAA